GCTTCTAGATGCAACATTCCAGTCTCTGCCCGCTTCTTCAAAAATTTCCCCTCTGTGTCTTGATGTCTTTCCCTGTCTCTTACAAGGACAATTATCATTGGACCTAGGGCCCACTCTTATCTAAGATGATTGCATTTCAAGATGCTTACCGTAATTATATCTGCAAAGACTCTTATTCTAAATAAGGTCACATTCTGAAGTTACAAGTGGATGTACCTTTTGGGGTCACGACTAGTCAACCCACTACAGGGATGGCTGGTCCTTTTTGCGGTTCGGATGCCTTGTCCTGAAAATACCAATTAAATCTAACCATTCTATTCTATCATTTAGGATCTCTGTTGCCTTACTGATTTTCTGTCTAGAAGATCTGTCCACTGATGTGAGGTGTTAAAGTCTCTTACCATCATTGTTTTCCCATCAGTTTCAACCTTTAGGTCTTAGTATTTGTTTTAGATATTTGGGTGCTTCCGTATTAGGTGCCTATATGTTGATGAGTGTAAAATCCTTTTCTTGTATTGTTCCTTTTACCATTATACACTGTCCTTCCTTATCTTTCCTTAATAGCCTTTGCTTTAAAGTCTATTTTGTCTGACTCGAGTATTGCAACTCCAGCTTTCATTTGTTTCCATGAAATATCCTTTTCCATCCCCTCTCTTTCAATCTGTGTGGGTCCTTTGCCCTAAGGTGGGTCTCCTGTAGGTAGCATATTCCTAGGCTCTTGTTTTTTCATCCTGTCTGCCACTCTGTCTTTTGATTGGAGCATTCAGTCCATTGACATTTAAGGTAATTATTCCTTTTTGTAGTTTGGATAACGTTCACGTTTTGTCTGTGTTCAGACATGACTGTCTTGACCCATCATGGTTAGAGTGGTCTTGTCTGGACACTGATGTTCTGTGAAACTGTTTATGTGCAGGAGGAGAATATCAAGGCCTAGCTGTGGGAGCCAGGCCAGCCACTGGAGGCCAGGGCCTGCTGTCCTCTTCAACTTGAAGGCAATGAGGAAGAGAGCCATCTTGGGGAAGAGTTCCAGCCACAAGGGCAGGATGGGAGTGTGCCTTGAAGGGCCAGCTAGTCCCTAGGGTGGCTGCGGCAGAGGGAGCAAGGGGGAGAGGGGCTGGGGGACAGAGAGGCAATGGGAGGTGGTGCAGAGCAGTATACCCACTGCAGGAAGTAAGGGGCCTCGGGAATGCTCTGAGCAGAGCAGTGAACGCCAGGACTGGAGTCATCAGCAGGCATGGTTTTGTTGGAGCGTTAGGACAAAAGCCTGACTGAAGTGGATTTGAGTGCGTGTGGAGGAGAGTGAAGGCACAAGATGAGACAACTCTTTCCAGAAGTTGTACTGAAAAGTGGAGCAGAGAAACAGGAAGTGGCTGGTGAGAAAGTGGAATCAAGAGAAGGTTTTTTGCTTTGTTTCTCTTTGAAAGCAGTGATGGTGCATCTGAACGCTGCTGGGAAAAGTCTGGAGGAGAATCCGTCTTGACGGTGTCAGCTGGAGCAGGCATAACCGGAGGGAAGGGAAGACAGGCTCCAAGGGCAGGTGGTGGCCTGGCTGTGGAAGAAGACCAGGGTAATGAGGACAGGGGTGGATTGGGGCTGCTGAGGCAGGCCGGCTGGCTGGAGACTTCGTCAGCAGAGGCTCTCTGTGGAAAGCCTCCCCCCACATCTCAGCTGCACTTCCTGTCAGTAACCTTGCCCCCAGGCCACGAGTATAGTAATAGTGTCTGCAGGGACCTTTAGACATCCCCACCTGGCCCAGCTGTGGAGACAGCACTTGAAGCTCCATAGACCCCAAAGGGGACCAGAGACGGAGACAGAAGGGTAGGAAACTGAGAAAGAGAAAAACCAGAGAGGGATCAAAATTCAGCCCAGTCTCCCACAGACCCCAGGCACAGGCAGGGGCCGCAACCTGAGTCAGGAGCTACCCTGTGCTGTTCAGAGCCCTAAGCATCCGGGCCAGGTTTGAATTGCTAAGAAATTCACTTGCCAAGCTGAGCATTTTCTGCGAGCCTCAAGTTCCCAGTTATAAAGGGGGGAACACCACCAACCTCCTCTTGGGTCTTCTGGGAGAATTTAGGGGTTATAAAACACATAAAAGTACCATCAGGGTGCCCGACAAGGAGCCAGATTTTTTTTCCTTCTCCCCTCTCATCTCCCACCCTGGGGGGCCGTCCTACGTCTTCACACCGGTTCCTACAGCAGCTCCGAGAATGGAAGCAGGGCCCCGCCTGCTGGCTGACTCTGGAACTGCTCCTCTGCCCCGGTTCAGAGGCAGAAGACTGCACATCCAATTCTTCCAGCGATTTCACTCCATGGCAGCAGATACCATGCAACTTCGGTAGGTGAGCACGCAGGCCTTCTTACCACCCCCACCACCACGGGGCAGGGGCTTTAATCCACCCTGACCCCCTCTACTCTTGCAGCTGCCCCTGCCTGGAGTGCCCCCACCTCCATCTGGAAATGTCAAAGGTCTGAGGCTTTCCACGACCCTCACCTCTTAGCGCCCTCTCACTCTCAAGAGAGAGTTAGTGGGGAACTCTCCCCCATTCTCTCAACATTTGGGCTTAACCTCTGGATTGGCTAAACCGTGTGGAGAGAACTGAAACACCTGTCTCCCCTGCTCTGAGACTCACCTGAGGGCAGGAACTGCCCCATTCATCTAACACCAGAATCCCACCAATCACTGCCCTGCCGGAAACCTCCCCAAGGATGTCTCCCCACTCCGGGTGAGGAGGCTGCGTGTCTCTATGTATGATGTGTATGTCTCTAGATTTTTCCCATATTTATGTCTTCACACATTTTTTTTTTTAAGGGAAAAAAAATCCTTCATTGGCTTCCTTATACCTTCAAATTCCCCAGCAAAGCTCACAGCATGGGACCTGGCCTCTGTCTTCCTGATTCCTCCCTCCTGCCGAGTAGTGATCCCCTCATCCATCTTCCATGCATCTCACTGGTTCCTCTCCCTGGAGAACCACAGCTCACTCTACTCCATGCAGCAAATCCCTTCTTGATCATCAATGCTCAGCGCAAATGTCATCTCCCTAGAGGCCTCCCTGACGCCCTGGTCTCGCTCATCTCTGCTGTCCTCATCCCGTCTATCCCTGTTGAAGCTCTCGGCATCTGAGCAGCAGCACCGAAAGTGTGCCTGTTTTCCTCTACAAGGCAGGCCTCTAGTGGGCAGGGTAGTGCCCTTCTGTACACCCAACTCACACATGTTCAATCCGTGTTAGCTGAAAGTCCCCACTGCCATCGTTTGCTCACAGGCAAAATGAGGGATCCAGCCAGGATCTCACAAACCTTTCTGACTCTAAAAATTCTGAGTTAATACCGACAAGCATGTTTTAGGCAAGCAGTTACCAAACAGTTGCTCTTCAGCTGTGATCAACCTGTTGTTTTCAGCCAAAAGGTCCTTCTCCATGGGGTTCACCACCCTTTCCCATCCTGGGGAGGTAAACAGGAAGTCATCCCCTCCCTCCTCAGCAGAGGGCCCATTGGGGCCTAGGACGCTGGGGAATCAACAGTTGCTTCTCATCTCTGCATCCCTCAGCAGCGCTGTGCTCACCTGAGCAATGGAGACCGTCTGCCGATCCTGGTGGTGAACAGGAGGGGTTTACCTCCCCACAGTCATCGGCTAGAGCTGTGTTAGGGGCGAGAGGCAGCTAAGCCGCTTCCTGCAGTATTCCCCTTAGAGGGGCACTAAAACAGGATTGGAATAAATCAGAAATCTGGGTGCCAGGGAAGCCAGGTTTCCATACACGTGCCTCTATTTGCTGTGTAACCACCAAATTCAGCCATTCCAGCTTCCATTAAAGTCAAACGGACCTTTGAAAAGAAAGGGCTTTTGCAGGCTTGGATATTCTCTACTGAGCCTTCTTTGAGATACAAATTCAAGTTTTACTCTGCAACTCAAATTCTGAAACGAAATAACAAATGGCATGATCTTTCACCAGAAGGATTTTATTATCTAAAATACATCTAAATCCTTTATTATACCTTCTAGTAAGCTGTCCAGTTTGGGAAAAACTTGACTTTCCATTTCCAAACATCTAGCTCCAGTCTACATAGCCTGATGGCAAGCCAACTACGGCTCATACACCCTTCCCCTTACCTCATCCCGGAGGCCGTGTTAACCTGTGCTCAGGCTCTGGAGTCAGAATCCAGTTCCAATCCTGATTTCACTATATGAAATCATAGGGAAGTTTACTTTATCTCTGAACCTGTTTTCTCATCTGTAAAATAGGGATAAAAACAGTATTCCTTAGGGCTATGAAAATTAAATAAATGCTGTAGATGGTCGCTTGACAGTAGTCTGGTGCTCAATGAATGATTTTTAACCAGGACTAATAGTAACCTTTGCTATGATGACAGGAAGGTATCCTCATAAGATGAGGACAGACTTCGTTACAGAAGCCGGCAGAGAAGTTAAACTTCTGTCTAGCTGTGATTTTATAGATCTCTGTTCCTTTCACCAGGCTGCTCCTGCTGTGAGTCCACACTCTCAACCTAAGGGGTTTGGAACCTAGTCAGCACTTCCACCACAGTCACATACGTTGTCTCAACATACACAAAGTACACTTCCTGCACACACTGTTCTAGTATACAAGACACATCCATCCAGGTCAAACTCCACTGAAATCCCTCCTAAACGTCCTCACCTTTGCTGCTCTCATCCCCGTGCTTCCTGAGCTGTGGCTCCAACGCACACAGCTGCAGCCAGAGGGTGGTGGTCACACCGGGACAAGGGCGCCAGTCTCCCTGTCAGGCTGAGGCTCTGCCTGCTGATGAAGGGCAGCAGGCACCTCTTAACCCACTTTGCTCAGTGAGGCTTCACCAGGGGACTGGAATCTCTAATTAGAATTTCCAATTTGTCAGGGGGCACCTTTATTTGTGGTAATAAAACGGGGACACAGCGTCACCTCCCAAGCCTGACAGCTGTACCTCTGACAAATACTCCCGTATGGCAGTGGAAGTAGGTGATGGCAACTGAATCACAACTGCACCCGAATGACAAAAGTTACGTTTAATTTACAATGTAATAAAGGTTACAGGTAAAAAGCTACACATAAAGCGTGAAAAGGCCTATTACACAAATGTACAAATCTCTGTACAAAGCTCTTATCAATGTGTCCTACCTTCGTCTCCTATGTTTGTTAGCCAGGTCTTCTAGTCTTGGAGCTCTGGGTCGAATGGGGGAAAGAGCCTCCGAACCATCATCTAAAAATGTCCTCTTAGAGACATCCGTTACTTCAAATTAAAAAATCTTTTCCTTTTTAATTAGAATTGCTCTAACTGATCATATCCTTTAAAAATTGCCTTCATAACACACTCAAAAGGGAAAGTAATACCTTAGAGAGTAGAAGACAGTACCCTGAAATCAAGTGAGAAAGTTCCACAAGTACTCAGATTTGACAAGAAAAACAGGTAAAGTTCAAACAATACTGTAAGTTTAAAACTATCAACCTGTGTCTATGGCACTGGTCACAGATGAAGAAAAATCAAAATGTTCTCATTCTAACAGAAAGGACAAAAGAGAAAAGTCTAACTACTGGACCTCAAAACCACTAACCCAGGAAAACACTTTTGAGTTTAAATCTTAGCTTAACTGGAGAATTTTAAACCCTCTTGTTAAGCAACCTGGAATCCGTGGCAACCCTTCTGCTACCTGGACTTGCAGGGATAGTAGGTATAAATTAGGCCACTGGACCGACAAGGCTGGTGGGGCTTCTGTCACCCCCACAGCTCTGGATTCAACCTGAGGGCCTAGAGTTTCTCCCTGGGGTATGTGACCTTAAATAAAAATGACCTAGAAAGAGGGAGAAAAGAAAAAAGGAGAAAAGGAAAGCCTGGGGGAAAGCCATGGCAATCTATTTAAAAGGATGTATGAAACATTTCTCTGCAATGAAAGTGTTCTGAAGACAGGTCTTTCTGGGATATTTCAACTTCACCCTCCGTTTTAATAGTACATGGTTAGGACCCCAGGAGACATTCTGAAAGACGATACTGCACACATGAAGTTTTTCTCCCTAGTTCATTAGCTCCCCCCATCACCCTTCCACCCCATTCCCACCCTATCCCACCCTCCTCCATGACCAAAAATATCAAATCAGTAAGGAAGGTGTAGGCTTCTTGCCCGGCCACGCCTCTTTTGCGTATTTCTTCTTCTTGGGTTCGTTGACAGCTTCGGGGTTATAGACAGCAGGGTTTGGTGCAGGGTTCATGTTCACTGCTGACGGCACAACAGGAGTCAAGTCCACATCAGGAGCGAGGTTCGGATATGGCATGGGCAAGCCACCAATGAGTGCTGTCCCATGGATGCCGTGTGGCTGGGAGCCAGCTTCACTGTGTGTGGGGGGCAGGCCCCCGTAGAGTCCTCCACTGAAGGCAAAGTTCTGCATGCGCCTGCTTCCTGACTCCTCCAGGCCCAGGGAGCCAGGGCCCTCCACCCGCTTCTTCTGTGGTTTACAGAGGAGACAGAAGTGAGACAGAAGAGTGCTGTTAGGTTCTTCTACTGCAGTCCGAGAAAAACTGGGAAAGGCCCCTGAACCTCTAACTCATTTGTTTCCATCTCACTGTCCTGAAATCTCAGGGTCTGAAGAGACCTTACAGTGGTCATCTAACATGTGGCTCCTAAACACTGCTCCAAACAAAGCATTCACCATCTTATGTCAAACAGAGAAAAATGAGGCCAGTGTATGAACTTTTCATAAAGTAAGACTTATCCAGTTTAAGTGACCATTCTTTACCCTAAGGTCATGCTTCTCTCTTTTTTTTTTTTTTATGTTAAAATACCCTTTTAGGAAACAAAGGTGATTAATAGATGGTTGCAAGTATTCTAATTTTTATTTTTTGGGGAAATAAACAGCAGAAAATTCCAAAGGAAGAAGAAAGAAGAGAAAGGTGCTCAAGGGGAAATGTGACACAAACTCTACGGAGTTGTATGAAAAATTTCATCTTGTAGTTTTTCACATCGGACTAAAGTTCAATGAAAGATCTTCCTGAAACAAAGACTAACCAGAAACTTTGACACATTTCTCGAAATAATATATTCTGAAGATTAGAGAGAAAAAAAAACAACTCTCTCTAGCAGCTCTGATCAGCATCTCCTAATCACCATTTGAACACCTCTGCCAACAGGGATCTGCTTCCAGGCACCATTTGCTCCCTTTTGGAGCCCTAGCTGTCAGGTGGTTCTCCATGTATTGAGCACTCAGAACATCTCTGTAGCTTCCACCTCTTGGTTCTTCAATAGAGCTATCTTTAAACCTAACCCAACATGGGCTGGCTTTCCAATCTGTGCCACTCTTGTTCACAAAATAAAGCCATGGCAAAAGCCAGAGGTGCCATGCAGAAGGCAACTATGCCTCCTCTTTGCCTAACAGCTTACTCCAAGTTAAGAAGGGAAGACTAAAGAAAGGTGGGTCTCTCTGCACCCTACCCTGCTGAGAGGTAAATTTACAGACTTCCATCACATTATAATTTACATGCAGCATTAAGCTGGCTTGTCACCTGCAGTTTCTCTATGGCACTCCAGGATCCAGACACACAGATGGGGTAAAAGTATTCCCAAAGTATGAAAAACAAGAAAGGGGCAGAGAAGGTATTTTAAAATTAAGCCTACACATCGAAGAGTGGGTTTTTAACCCAGATTATGTAACATTTTAAACATGCTTCCTACCTTGACTGGGACCACTGCAGTCTGCACCATGTTCCGAAAGCGACCGACTGAAGGATCCACATCCTCTGCAAAAAGACATGAGGGCAGGGTTAATTCAGTAATCAACTGGGAGGATTAATGTCACATGGCTCAGTGTGAACAAAGCCATCACAATAACTCATATTAAAACAGTAAAATACAGCTAACCCTTCAGGTGTTTACTGAGTATGTGTTCAATCCTCATAACAACCTCATGAGCTAGGTACCACTAGAGCAAACATGTAATAGATGAGAAAACAAACTCAGGCTTGGAGGAGGAAAATGATGGACCCAGTCATCTCACTGGAGAGGAGCCAGGATATAAATCTCAGCAGCCAGAAACAGGCCTGTGCTCTAGACCACTTTCCCATTCCACATACTTCCCTCTTTCGAGGGGAGATTTAAAAAAAAAGTAGACATCATCAATCTCATGTTAGTAATAAAAGAGGGACACCTCTTTTATTACTCACCTCAAGAGGTCACACACTTTGCCTTTTGAGCTGAACACCTGTATACAGGCATACCTCACTTTACTGTGTTTCACTTTACTGTGCTTTGCAGATATTGAAGGGTTTAAAAAAAAAAAAATTGAAGGTTGGTGGCAACCTTGCACTGTCAGATGATAGTTTGCATTTTTAGCAATAAAGTAGTTAATTAAAGCATTGTAAAGAAACAAGGACACGGGTTTTTTAAAGATATAATGCTATTTTTTAGACATAATGCTATTACACACTTGTAAATGTAACTTATATATGCACTGGCAAACCAAACAAATCTGCGTGACTTGCTTTGACATTCGCTTTATTGAAGTGGTCTGGAATGGAACCCATAATATCTCCAATGCATGCCTATACAAGGAAGACTCACTAAAGGATCTGAAGCCCCTGCCCAAGCAGGGTGCGAGAGCTTTTCACAGCTTAGACACACACTACTGCACCCTCCAAAGCTTCTAGCTTCATTCATTCACTCTGCCAGGAGAAAGCACTAAGATCAATTTAAGGGACATGCTTGCAATCAGTCTCTCGTTTATTGGACAGAAGGCATGGAAATGAAGAGCAAGACACTGTCCTGCCTTTAAGGAGCTCAGAGCTATAAAGCCAGATGGATCACAATACAATGGAGGTGCTTCAAGAGAAGTATGAAAGTAGTGATCTTGGAGCACAGAGGGGAGACTGGGTTGGATGACCTACAATGAACAGTTTTCTCACTGAAGACGAAGTGTGGGGAAACAGGCAAGCACAGACTAGAACATTACTAGAAAACCAGAAAACACAACTCCCTGGCCCTTTTATCTTAATACAGTGGTAGGAAAGGAGTTGTTTCCCTAGCAGACATTGTACACCTTATTTTAATGCACTGAAGGTGTTTGCTATTTAAAGAAACACTCCTGTGAGTCCCTTTGGGATATAAAGTATTCCTTATTTAATTGAAGAGCCCCTGATTTACTTAAGTCTGTCTTTTCACATATTACTGCTACTGCTAAGTCACTTCAGTCGTGTCCGACTCTGTGCAACCCCATCCCTGGGATTCTCCAGGCAAGAACACTGGAGTGGGTTGCCATTTCCTTCTCCAATGCATAAAAGTGAAAAATGAAAGTGAAGTCGCTCAGTCATGTCTGACTCTTCGAGACCCCATGGACTGCAGCCTACTAGGCTCCTCCGTCCATGGTATTTCCAGGCAAGAGTGCTGGAGTGGGGTGCCACTGCCTTCTCCGTTTCACATATCAGGATGCCTCTAAAGGATACATCCTGGAATTACATACACAAACAATTGTTCAATGAATGAATGAATGAACAGCTTCTATACGGAAAAAGAAAGAGGAAAAGGTACCAGGCTCATCAGGAAGGAGACAAGGTCTCTAAAAAATGGCACCCTTATTTTCTCTCATTACCATAGGAGCCCTGTTCCAATCATCCCTTCAGGAAAGCTAAATGAAGTGCAAGAGCAACTGGAGCCCAAGAAGCATGGCTAACAGGGTATGTGCCCCACGAACAACACAGGCCTGTGGAAGTGAGGACACGGCCACCGAGGAGACCCTGTCCTGTGCTGGCTGAACAGTGTGCGGGCCTCTCGCCCTTTCCTCACTCTCGAGCCATTCAACTCCTGGAGACAGAGTCTACCTACTGCAGGAAATCTCTGCTCCTGGAAGATCTACCAAGAGGTTCCTTGCCAGGTCTACTTCTGGTATAGGAAAGTCTACACAGGTAAATGCAAAAGGGCTGGCAGATGACTGGGATAATGGCTAACATTTATCAAGAGCTACTGAGTGCCTGGGTGAAGCACAAATTGGAATCAAGATTGCCAGGAGAAATATCAATAACCTCAGATATGCAGATAATACCACGTTACGGCAGAAAGCAAAGAGAAACTAAACAGCCTCTTGACGAAAGTGAAAGAGGAGAGTGAAAAAGCTGGATTTAAAACTCTACATTCAAAAAAGGAAGATCATGGCATCTGGTCCCTTCACTTCATGGCAAATAGATGGGGAAACAATGGAAACCGTTGACAGACTTTATTTTCTTGGGCTCCAAAATCACTGCAGATGGCAACTGCAGCCATGAAATTAAAAGACACTGCTCCTTGGAAGAAAAGCCATGACAAACTTAGAGAGCATATTAAAAAGCAGAGACATTTACTTTACCAACAGAAGTCAAAGCTATGGTTTTTCCAGTAGTCATGTATGGATGTGAGAGCTGGACTATAAAGAAAGCTGAGCGCTGAAGAATTGATGCTTTTGAACTGTGGTGTTGGAGAAGACTCTTGAGAGTCCCTTGGACTGCAAGATCAAACCAGTCCATCCTAAAGGAAATCAGTCCTGAATATTCATTGGAAGGACTGATGCTAAAGCTGAAGCTCCAATACTTTGGCCACCTGGCGGGCAGAACTGACTCACTGAGAAAGATCCTGATCCTGGGAAAAATTGAAGTCAGGAGAAGGGGATGATCCAGGATGAGATGGTTGGATGGCATCATCAACTCAATGGACCTAAGTCTGAGCAAGCTCTGGGAGTTGGTGACGGACAGGAAAGCCTAGTGTGCTGCAGTTCATGGGATCGAAAAGAGTCAGACATGACTGAGTGACTGAACTGAACTGAGTGCCAAGCACAGATCTGAGGTATTTTCCACGTAATCATTTAATCTCCCCACCAATCCTGTGGGGCCAGAAGTCTGACAAGTCACTTGGCCAGAGGGTCACAGAACTACCAAGCAGAGACATGAATTTCATACCCAGGCCCTCTGATCAGAGCTCATGCTCTTAAACACTCTGCCATACTCTCCCTAAACATACTGCCTTCATAAAGTTCCAGGACAATAATTTTCTTCTTCTTCTTTTTAGCTGCATCATGTGGCATGTGGAATCCTAGTTTCCTGACCAGATACTGAACCCACGCCCCCTGCATTAGGAGCACAGAGAACCACTGGACCACCAGAGAAGTTCCATAATAATTTTCAAGAGAAAAAACAGAACATATCAGACCCTAGGTCTTGAAGGAGACTTAATGAATTATCTAGATCAGTCATTCCCATACTGTTGGCTGTTCATCAGTACAAATAAGAGCTTATTAAAACTACAGATTTCTATGTCCAATGTCTAGAAACTCTTATCTGGCATCCAGAAATAAACTTTCTAGATTAGTCATCCAGCTCCTGACTAAACATTTCCCTTGGGCATTCACTACTTTGGCAAGTAATTCATTTCACTTCACACATCATCAGAAAGTGAACAAAAGTCACTAGAATGAATGCTCCAATCTCTTTCACAGGAATTCTTTTAATTCTTCTTCTAAATATAAGGATTTGTTGTTGCTTTTTATGCCGAGCTAAATACTTGCTACTCTCAGGCTCTGGTTTCGCCTACTCATTCCTCGCGAAGGTCAGCCTTGCAAACATCCACCCTCAGGGTGCCTCCCCCCAATCTACTCTCCTTCATGCACATTTCCCAGCATTCAGGGACCACTGTCTATAGCTGGGAGTCTCCTTCCCCCTTAAGACTACAAAACACATTTAGTATTTTAGTAGAAGTTATAGCCTTAAAGAGGCAAGTCTTCAATTCAGTTAATAGTGGCAGAAAGTTCTCCAATTTTAAGAGTTACCAGTCATACACAGAACCCCATAAAGACAACAGTGTCTGCTCTAACCTATACTTAAACTCCAGTATGATACAGACATGTTGCATCAGCAAAGGAGAACTACAGCCATGCTCTGTATACTGAATTGTAAGGGCCCTTCCTCTAGCTACTTCTTTCACACTGCAACTGGATGCTTGAGTGTTCAGGGCGCTCCATCAATGAAAAGGTATAGCTTGTTTTATTGTGCTTCACAGACATTGAGTTTTTTATATCGATAAATTTGAAGGTTTGTGACAACACTGCATCAAGTAAGTATTTCAGTGCAATTTTCCCATTCACTCACTTCCTAGCTCTGTGTTACATTTTGATCATTCTCACATGTTTCAAACTTTTTCATTATTATTACAGTTGTTATAGTGACCTATGACCAGTGATCCTTGTTGTCACTATTGTAAAAAGATTACAACTTGCGGAAGGTTCAGATGATGGCTGGCATTTTTTAGTAATAAAGTATTTTTTAATTAAGGTATGTACGTTGTCTTTTTAGACATGATGCTATCGCACACTTAACAGACTACAGCATAGTATAAACGTAACTTTCACGTGTACTGGGAAACCAAAGAATGTCTGTGACTTGCTTTACTGAAATTCTTGAACCAAACCCACAATATCTCCAAAGTATGCCTGTACTGTACAAAAATATCTCCCCTCAATATAGCACCTGTTATTCTAAACCTTGTTGAGAAACAACTGACCTAAAGGTTGTGTAAACTACTCTCTAGGATCACAGCCTTTTCATCAGAAAAAACTTGGAAGATACCTCACCTGGGTTGATGATCTCATCATCCTCACTAAAGGTCACCCGTGAGTTCTTCCTCTTCCTCTTTGGTCTCTGAATGTCCAGATTCCCCTCCTCAATGGTGAGAGTGGAAATCCGCTTGTTGTGGGCAGTGTTGAATTCTGTCAGGTTCTGGGCCAGAGTTCACACAGGAAAGATAGGAATAAGTACACAAGGAATTTGAAGGAGAATATTACCAAACAAAGAGCAGGAAGGTATTAGGAGCTAACCTTGACCTCTTCACACAAATGAAATTCTCTTCTGCATTCAGAAAAGATTCATTATTGTCCCCAAAGAGCTAATACCAGCAAGCCTCATTTGACAGAATACGGAACATCTTCAGTGACCAGTGAGGCAGTGATATTCAAAAGGGGCTGAGGGACCTTGAGCTGAAAACAAGTCACCTGTGCAAAAACCCTTGAGTTGACGTTTGGGGGTTTTTTGAAGAAGGTTATCATGTCTTCATGCTGAGAATTAAATGAATGTGATTGGAAAGAAATTCAAGAACTGTTTTTAAGTAACAAAACAGATGAGAAAGAAAAACTGATAGTTTCTTTCCCAGTAGCTCTCTCCTTTAAAACTAGTAAGGACGCTGCCAGTGCACTCAATATTTGGTATTAATATTTTGTCACTCCCCATCCCTGTCTGGCCCCATTTCTATTCATAACTATCCATCCATCTCAGTGACTAACTTGGCCTCAGCACTGCTGCCTGCCTCTTTTCAATCCCTTGGACTTATTTCAATCTGCACTGCAGTTTGAGACATCCCAAATGTCTTGAGAACAAGACCGAGAGATGACAGGAGGAGGCATGGAAGCAGCCTGGAAAAGAATGGGCAAGAGGGACTGCCAGCCAGGACCCTGGCTATGAGGCTACTTATTTCCAACCAACTAACTTCTGAGTTGTAAGATTTCTACTGTGCTTTTTTCTTCCTAACATCTGGGAAACTGCCTCTGTATACAAGAAGAGTAAATCTATGTGGGTGGTTAAGGACAGGCTGGCATTTGATTTACCTGGACAGACCAGTCACACCAATGCAGTGACAGGCATGTGAAGACAAAAGCTACACCACAAACTACTGGGGTCAACTCTAGACAAGGAAAACCTTAACACATTTAAGTTAAATGTTGTAAAATTCAGGGCAGCCAGGTCCAGACAAAAGCAGTCTAGTTCTACTCAGAAGATTCTTGGGCTGATGGATGGTATCAAAAAAAGCTACAGAAATGAATGAAAGCTTCAATCTCTGTAAGCCAGTGCTGTTCAAACAAACTTTCTGGATGACAGAAATGTTTTCTATCAGAGCTATTTAGTATGGTTAGTCACTAGCCACATGTGACTACTGAGTACTTTGAATGTGGTTAGTGGCTACTGCATTGGATAGTGTAGCTCTTAAGAAATGGAATTCCCAGCCTTGGCTTCTAACACGCAGCAAAGGTGCACAAGACAACCATAAGGGTCTACTGGCTAGTCAGCCCTGGTTATATATAACCAAACCCACACAATGCAGATTTCCAAGGGCCATACCACACTGCCAAAGTGGCAAAGGCTTATCTCTCTGTTCAAGAAAAACTCCAGCTGCTAAGTCACTGGCATTTCAAGCTACATAGAACAGCTACATACTGCAAAAACCAGAGTCTCCAAGACATAACAATGACACAGACAATAGAATTACATCAAGTTCTGTTTCCTCCTCTGGAAGCCCCAGTAAGCCCTTGAGTTCATCATCCTCTCCACCCATCTTCTCGTCTCCTTTCACAGCTGATGGCAATGTCTGAGGCTTCTCACGTAGAGTGTATGCCCTTGTGGATGCACCAAATGAGACCGTGGAGTCGATGGGAATTTGCTGAGGCTTGTGAGGCTCCAACCGAATGTGACCCAAGTAAGTGCCGTGTGCTGGGAATAACCAAATCAGAAATATAAGAGAGGAAAGGAAAAAAACAAACAAAAACCAAACCTGAGTTGCAAAAGAGAAGTTTCTGCCAGCATATCAGTTTTGCTTTTTAAAACAGAAATGGCATTGGGTCCACTCTGCATCCCTTGTCATGAGTCACAATGAAAAGGAAAACTCCTTCACTGAGTCCTGAATCACTACAGTGGATTTCTGACACACCTTCAGACCTGCTGCTACCCCACATAAAAGTGCCTCTGCAGCCAGACTGGCTCCATTCTGGGTCCAGCAGGAAAGGCTCCGATCCAGCAAAAGCCATGCCCCGCAAAGAGGAGGACAGGAACTGCTGTGGTCTGACCTCTCCAGCCCCAAGCCTAAGGAATATAGGAACTGCTGGACGGGTAACAGTTATACTTGGGGTTTCCCCAGGCTAAGAAATGAGGCTGGCTGAAACAGGTGCAATACCAATGGCAAGGTAGGCCAAAAATCCTACTGGAGAGTCTGGATATTTTTCCATGTCTACATTCTGCATATTATGAAATGGAGAGAAAAGATGAGATAAATTTGCAAGTACGTACTTATGAGACAAGGCTCTCCAAAACCATCATATAACCATACTGGGGTAATGTGTGCATGTGTATGGGGAGGGGGGAAAGGAGTAAAACACGATCAACCCAGGAAGGAGATCCTTTACATTCCATGCTGCAATTAATTATACACAGGTGAAAATGAACAAACTTCAAGGCCCCATGTAGTCAAGTTTCAACTGCATTTCTGAGATTATCTCTGACAAACTTGAAAATCTTATAGTTGGAGTGTGCTCATAGAATTAAAATTGATATTAGTAGTAGTAGTCAAAGCAAAATGTAGCTGAGATAAAGAACCTATTATAAAAAATGAACTTGCTCAAAATAAGGATTCTTTTTATAATGTCCTGTACCCACAACTCTACTACATTAATGGAACTAACCACAACTTCTGCTTAAACTGGATCACAATCTCTCAAGGGCCTATGAACACATTCCCTAGTTCTTAGGTGTTTTTTTTGTTCTCCCTATATACCTATTACTCTCCTCAGGAAAGCACTCCCTAATATCTTCTTCTCTTTCTACTCATCAATTATTTCAGTAAAATAGGAAAGACCACAGGAATGGAGAAGGACTGATTCAAAAACCAAAGATAAACTTCCTTGATGAGCAATAAAACACAATTTAAAATCTGAAGAACCCAATGAGCATCTCCACACTGCCCAAAAGGGAATGTATAAAATGGGATGGGATATGAGTTACTTACTACTGTTGAGATCTATTAAGAAAACTCTCTTCAGATGCTTGTGGTAGACCAAGGCAGCGTGGACCCGAGAGCAAGACTGGTGGTCAATTGTGAAGTCACACAAATCAGGGTTTCGCCCAAATAAGTAATACTTCTTCTCATCGATAATCAGTTTCTAAATAAATATAAAATACTAAAAGTTTGTTTCAACAGGGTTTAGCAAAAATTCTTCCAATAAAAGTAGAGCATATTAAGGTAAAATTCCTTGTCAAACTAAAAATATATACATATATAGATGTATATATATTTCCTATTATTTTTCAAGATAAAGAGCTCAGAAAAATTTACTAACATTTCTGGGGGTTGGCAATTATTCTCCCAAAATACAGTGGTCAAATGTTGAGTGCTGATATGAAAAGAACTTTCCCTAATCCTATTAGATGTAAATGGCCTGCAAGAGAGGCTGTCTTCTTTTCATTGTAAATTTAAGATTTCACTTAACTTTATGTTGAGCAGGAAATAAAAACATTAGCCATGCCTATAAAGGAATAAGACGTCTTTTCAGAAAAATATATATTCAAATGAAGATTATCTACTGGTTCACAAAGGAAGGGAGGTATAAACACTTACCTATATTCTAATCATGCTGCCAGAGCCCCAACTTATTTTTGGAAACCCCTTGAAATCAGAATTACATTAGACATCACTGTATGAGCCTCTAGATCTAATTTTATGGTCCCATTACATTTTGGCCACAAAAAAGCATTACTCAGAGTTAACTCTAAATGCGTACTTGCTGTGTCCAAATATGGTATGACCTCACAGGGCAAAGATTTTCCAGGTTTGAGGGAAGAGAATGTAGAGATTCACATTTATTGAAGGGCTATTTTTGGCTAGGCATTTTAAGCATTATCTCATCTAATCATCAAAACAAGTCTGTAAACTAAACATCACCTTTATTATAGAAAGTGAACGTGTTAGTTGCTCAGTTTGTCCGACTCTTTGCAACCTCATGGACTTTAAACCCGCCAGGCTCCTCTGTCCATGGAATTCTCCAGGCAAGAATACTGGAGTGGGTTGCCATTACCCGCTTCAGGGAATCTTCCCAACCCAGGGATCGAACTGCAGTCTCCTACACTGCAGGCAGATTCTTTACCGTCTGAGCCACCAGAGAAGCCTATCACCTTTATTATTTAAACATAAGAAAATAAATTCAGAGAGATGAATCTAGTCATTCAAGGCAGTCAGGCTGGTTAAGTAGCAGATGTGGGATTTAAATTCAGGTATGAATAACTTGCAATGCTAATATTCTAAACAACAGTGCCATGGGTCTGAAATAATTCTGAGAAGAACTCCAAAATGTTTCTAACCACTCCTGTGAAACTGGAAAAAATAGAACTATATAATGTCTCAATATAATAGCAGAAAAGAGGATTTTGCAGAGTAGCAAACTGTTACTTTAAAAATTGTAGGGGCTGACGTAGCGCTATTAACTTTTATTTAACCAAAAAAGAACTTTCTTTTACAAATGTCACCGATCATTTTATAAAAGAAAGGTCATTTTAACAAAAAAGCAGGGAGGACAAGGATAAAGGGCCACTCTTTGAGTTGAATTTAGCTTTATGAAAAACTCACTACACTGTCTTTTTCTTTTAATCCTAGATCAGTAAAGCTTTTGCCACATATTGGTTGTGGACTGGGCTGTCACAGATGAAGGACTCTAGGTTAAATTTTTGCTAACACTTCGTTCAGTTCTTAAGGTCTACAATTTGAGCCTTTGAAGAATAACCCCCATTCATACACATTATGTTGTTCCTTTACAGTTTTTATTTTTATCTGCACCACGTGGCTTGTAGGATCTTAGTTCCCAGATCAGTGACTGAACCCATGCCCTTGGCAGTGAAAGCGCCGATCCCTAACCACTGGAATGCCAAGGGAATTCCCTGTTTTTTTTTCCTTTAAACAGATTGTCTCACTAAGCTCTAGTTCACATTTCACACTATGCTCCTTCTAAAATCCCTGAGAGAAGACAGCACAAAGTTGAGTAAGGAAGTACAGTCAAATTAAGATGATACCAGGCTAGGAATCAAGAGGCTTATTTTTCGTTCCTGGCTATGTCACTGAACTCACAGTGGGCTACTATTCTCCCCTATGCTTCAGTGTTCTTACAAAACCAGAAATGTACCTCACATACTGGTAACAGTTAACAACTGCTGAGTACTTAAGTGCACACATTGTGCTGTGAGATTTATGCTATGTCATTTCATCTTTACAGCCACTCTGTGAGGTAAGTAGGTACTATTATTCCTATTTTTATAGATAGGAACAGTGAGGCATAAAGAAATTAATATATGAAAGTTCACACTGCTAGATATTTATAAACTGGATTAGAAATTCAGGTCTGCCGTCACAGAGTCTAAGCTTTTATAACCACTATATATTTTATTCACTCTTCCTGCATCAAAAAATCCACCATATGGCAAAAAACATTTAAGGAGTGAACAAGTAGTATAGGTCACACTCTTAATTTTTTTTTTAACACTTACCCAGTTCCTTGCCAGCTTATACTTTAAGGATCAAAGGGACAGGGGTCACTTTTGGGAAACTCTGTCCAGCAGCGCCCACTTGCTGCTGGCAGAGCTTGTCTCAGGCCCCTAGTGTTAGGGGGCACCAAGATTCAAAAACACGATCCCACAATCATCCCACGCCTGCTTAGACCCAAATATTAAGACTTGGGTTAAAAATAAGATATTGTTTTAGAATTGAGAGAGCCCTAACATGTCAAGATGTTATTTTCTCTAGGTAATATCTATGCAAGTTGAATCTCACAGATGCCATTTCCCATTCGTATCTATTTGCACATACATAATGTCTTCACAAACTTAAATTTGGTAACCACAGAGCTCATAGGCTGGACTTAAACAGTCATAAGACCACCAGCTTTTGGGTTCTAATACAAAATTGATCACCTTCTATGATTCCAGGCTTCCCTGGTGGCTCAGTGGTAAAGAATCCACCTATCAATGCAGGAGACACAAGTCTGATCCCTGGGTTGGGAAGATCGCTGGAGAAGGAAATGGCAACCCACTCCAGTATTCTTGCCTGTGAAATGCCAAGGACACAGGAACCTGGTGGGCTACAATCCACCGGGTCACAAAAGAGTTGGATACAACTTAGCAACTAAACACCACCACAAGGTGAAAATACCAGAGATTTAGGTGTTTAGAGAAGGAAAAAAAGAAAAGGCCTCCAAATTAAATATGCACATTCACAATTAAAGGTATCTCAATTACAGAAGTGTGAAAATGTAGAGAAAAAAACAGTATGCCTCAGAAGCAAAAAAATGAGTGAATTCTTAGACAATTTGCTTCTTCTGTCCAAGTGAATGAAATAATGCACTGGCCCTTCAGTAGTCACTAAACCACAATTGCTTAAATAGCTACGGCTAATACCATTATCCAGTTGTGCCTCTGAGTTATAACTCAGAGTGTAGCTTTACACCCTGGGCTTAAAAGACTCATGGCTTTTGTTTTAATATTGCACTTCTTAAACCCAGCTATCACAACACATCACAGGCCTCTGAAATAAGGCTTGGACATAGATAGCTCGGTTAGTATCAAGTGCTGCCTAAATCCTTAAATAATAAGCAGATTTGGAGTCTATTTCTCTCAGAAACAACACAGTGATGGCTACGGATTGTAACATGACACCTCTGTGGCAACTCAGCACACCTAAGAGCACTGAAAGACATTACCAGTTAATGGAAACCAGTAATCAGAGGGATGTTTGACAAGTTAAGAGTGCTTTGAAAATATAAATTATTTCTTAAAAAAAAAAAGAAAATATAAATTATTTCTGAAAAGAATTATGATATTATCATTAAAGCTAGGCTCCTTATATGTTTCTCCCTATTGCAAATTAAAGATTTATTAAATTCTGGTTAAAAAAGTAGATTCCTATATGTCTACCGAGCAACATTTTGTATGTGTGGAACAGTTTATAGTTTAAAAAAAAAAAAAAGACATTTTAGCTAAATTATTCCCTTGAATAATCCTGATATTTTATAACCTTTAAGATAGAAGAACCCATGACAAAGTGGTTCTAAGTGACTGGCTCAGGGCTTGATAAATTCATCATAACTTCTGCCTTAATGTTTTGCAAAATACATGTATCACTACAACATCCTGAAAGTGAAAACAATGTATTTATAGAACATCCTTCAGGAGATCTCACAGACAGTTTTCATTACAGAGTGCAATGTTTTTATTATATACACCAAAGAAAAATAACTGCACTCAATAATAGAGGCTTTAACTTAAATATATGAGCAAGCAAACATAAAATTGGTTGAATACACGAAGACTCACAACTAGATGGCCACAATGGGCTTAATCCCCATTTCTTGGTAAATAAATGGCAACAAAAGAATTAAAAAAAAAAAAATCCACGCAACCTAAGAGCAAATCAAAATTCGTGTTCCCTTGCAGTTCTATGTGGTTTTCATTCTAGAGACTTGGAGAAAAGCTAGACTGCTGCTACACTTGTTCTTTATAGTACTTACATCAATTATAATCATGTAAATTTTTGTATGGTTCTGTGTTTCCCACCAGATGATTTCTTTGAAGACAGGAACCATGTTCATTTTGTTCACTGCTGTATTCCCTATGCCAAGCACAAAGACTGGCACATAGTAAGCACTCAGTAAATGTTTTAAATGAATGAATGAATTTCATCACCATTTCCATTCTCTTTTTTGAACATGTGTCTTAGTTTACTATCTTCTATGAAGGGCTTTAGCTTGAATCTCATAAAAGCAATTTAAAAGCTGAATTCAATCTATATCATTCACTTTCTTCTTCAATTATTGCAGACCTTGCAACTTCCACACAACTCCACATACTCAGAGAGAAGGAATTCACCAAGTTATAGGGCATCCAGTTTCACTGAGGCCTACAGGCCCACGATCTATTAAAACCTTTCATTTGGAAGGTGAGAGAAGTCACAAAAAAGCACAGTATCAGTGAAGATACATATTGGCATGTGTTTTATCACTATGTGCTTTTAATAGAAAAAAATCAGGATGAACAAAAGTAGCATTGCTGGAAAACAAAGCACAGGAGAGGGGGTGGAAAAGTGAGTCACTGGCAAGAATCTTTCGTGTGGTGGGGAAAAAAGGGAAGACGTGTATTTCCATACCTCAATTAGCTTGTCTCCTTTGACTACATCCAGATGTAAACCAGGAGGGGGTTTACCTGCCCTGAAAAGTAACAGTGAAAAAATATTTTCAGGATGAGTTTGCAAATGCCATTTACAATCATTATCCCATTCAACACTGCAGCTCTCCTACCAGCCTATAATTAGTTCATGTTCAAGCAGAAATGTCATCTACTTTACAGTTATTATAGTTCCTTTCTGCATTTGACACTTACCTCCCCAGTGATTCAACTACTCTAAAACATATTTCAGGGGATCTATATTTAGAGCAGCACCAAAGAAACCTGTATTTTAACACTGAATTATCTACCTTGGAGAGAAAGCAGCACAGAGAATGCAAGTACTATAGTTAGGGTTGTCTGGTCACTTGGAGTTTGATTCTAAGATTGCCACTACCAATAATACCATACAAAGGTAGAATAAATCAGTTGGTGTCTGGGGCTGATCAAGGTAGACTTATCACAGAATAAACAGAGGGTACTGTCCTGAGCTCTGAGGTCAAACCAGACACATAATTTAGGCAGTTAGGGCAATCCAAAACTATGCCATGAAACCAGGTACCAATAAATAAAAAAGATATCTATTACCCTGAACAGGTCATTCTACAATGGCATGTATAAGGGAATTTTTCTCTATACTCCTATAACCATACCATCCAAGGGAGACACATATATGTCAAAGCACCTAACACAGTGTCTGGTGCACACCAGAAGTTAAGGAAATGGTAAGTGATCTTATACAGTCTCTTCTAACTATAAATTTACTATCCTGGCCCAGTAAACTTATAGTTAGAAGACATAAGTAAACATTCTGAAATCAATGCGGCAAGGAACCAAAATGGACACAATTTGCAGACTGGAGCAACTGTGTGTTGCAGAAGTGCAAAGGGACTCAGAAAATAGCTACACATTCACTTGTTTCCTGTGTTTGCGCCTCTGAAGTTTGAAGGAAGAACAATCTTGCTAGATCCCCAAAATCTACGCACACGCGCGCGTGCACACACACTAAACACAAATGCATTCATTTACATCTAACTGAAGATACAACACAGTCATCTCACAAGTCTGACCCAACTCCTCTATGGTGGCTGCTGGGAGGACAGTGCATTGGACAAAAGCCCATTTTGTCTGGAAAACAGGGAAAGCCAAGTTACATCCAAAATATGCTTTCTGAACTCCTACTATGTGTCTGGCTCAGGCCTAGGAACTGTGACTATAAAGATGCATTAGGCAGCCCTTGCCCTTGAGGGGTTCAATATAACGGAGCCAGAGAGTAACACACACATAACAATACACACTGTGATGAGCAGAAATAGCTCTAACTCGGATGAGTCGCCTTGCCAGGCAATTCATATAAGTCTTCGTGTACTCCACTCAAAGACTAAAATTATTCCATTATTCCCAAGAACTTGTGAAGGGAAGAAAGGGGTTCTTCCTAACAAGCAAGGATGCCCTCTGGTGCCCGAATTCGCGCCAGTGGTTGAGAGCGCAGAGGTAGGTCAGAGCCGTTCCGGCCCTCAGGGAGCTCCTAGTCAGCGAGACACAGGCAAGGATCGCACCAGGCTGCAGTTAACAACCGCGGGATGCGAGGTTCCGAGCGGGGATCGGGGCCAGGAAGCTAGCTCGCGCGCGCTCGGGACAAGAGAGCGGGGGGCAGGTACCGGGCTCCACAAGAGCACCAGGCACTCAGTCAGCAGGCACTCAGTCAGGAGTTGGGGTAAGTTCGAGGCCAAGGCCCCGAAGCGCCCCGGCAACCGGCTGACTGCCCGAGGGGCTGCCTAAGCCAGCGCCTCAGAGCCCCCAACTCTGGGTTTCCTCAGTTTCTGGGCCCGGGCTCCGAGCTCCAGGTTCCTCCACACGCCGCCCGGCCCGACGGACAGTTCTCCCTCAGTCAGTCCCAAGATGTCTGGGCCGTTCGGCTCGCTGCGAGAAATCAGCCGCCTGGCCGGCACAGGCCAGCGCAGGCCAGGCCACTTCAGTGCTGGTCGCCCCGCCACTCACCAGGTCGGGCAGTCGAATAGCGGGAGGCTGGAGCCGGAGTTCGCGGCTGCCGCCATCTTGCGTCTCCCCCTCCCATTTGGCGGGCCCTAAGCACGCTGGGAAACTGGAAGACCCAGAAGGGAAGAGGCGGCTTCCCAGCGGCCTGTGCGTCTGCGCGCGCGCACACACACCCACGCACGCACGGACGCACCGACGCACAGCGCGTTGTAGTAGCGGTGGAGACTGGGGTCCTGTTTAGGGGTGTTTTTCAGGGTTTGAGAGTTGACTTTTCTCTGGAGGCCAGGGCTTCTCTCGGTCGGCAGTTTTCTGAGGAAAATGGGCTCGTAGGGAAGGGTTCGGTTTCCCTCTACGTTCTTTTTTCAAACACGCTTCCAGGCTCTAAAGTCTTGTGATGCCACCCTTGCTCTGGGCTCGCACCGTCAGCCTTTTTACTCCCAAGACGGAGAGAAGTTAAGAGGGTATAGGGCTTAGGGATTGGAAAAACACCAGTCTCTTGTTTCTCCTCTAACGGTCCTGAGAAGCTACCTTTCGGGATCGTGTAAACTCTAGACAAACAGGAGCCAGGGACGGATCCAACCAGATGGCAGGCGTCCAGATCATCAAAATGCATGAATGAAAAGCTTATTTAATCAAGTGGAGGCCTCTTTGGATTTTAAAATTTTGGTCATAGTGACTAGATTGTAAAGGAAGACTTAGGATTCAGGAGTGCGTTTGTCCAACAGCTGAGTGAACGATCATCAGCAGGGCTTCTGGTTGTAATGGCTTATGTCTACTGAGTGCTTATTTGGGCTAGAATGTAGTTTATGTGGATCATCTCATTTAATCCTCAAAACTCTCTTTGAAATAGGTATTATGATCCCCGAGGGGAGGCTCAGAGAGACTGAGTTGCCCAGCCTCACTCTAGAACGAGTGGGATTCAAACCTAAATCTGTATGAGGCCAAAGCCCATGCTCTTGAATCATCACTCTGTCTCATACTTTGATGTTGGTACGGTCATATTTATTATTAGCATGCAACTGAAGCCCAACACTTTTTCAGTTTTGTAGAAAACATGAGAGGATTATCCAGCCTGTTTTTTTCTTTTAAGGAAACCAAATGCAAAATTACTGTTCACCTATAAAGAGGCATTGCACAGCAAATTATCTCTTTCTCTGGTGGAGTTCTTGTCCTGATTCCCTACTACTGGTCCTCTAGATTTTAAATCGAACATCAACCTGTTCAAAAGATTTTGCCCTGGGTGACATCTCCAGGCATCAAGATTTAACTGTAGCATAATATTAACTTAGAATTTAAACTGATCAACTCTTAGGAGAATACCATTTTCCACTGGTCTTCAAAAGCACAATAAACTCATCCAGCAAGGATATTAACTGGTCAGATCACTTTTTTTTTTTTTTTTTTGGCTGCATCCGTGGCTTTCAGGATCTTAGTTTCCTCACCAGGGATTGAACCTGGGCCACAACAGTGAAAGCACCAAGTCCTAACCACTGGACTGCTAGGGAATTCCCTCAGATCACTTATCAAATGAACAGGTTAATATACCCCCTTTTCCAGCCCTGCGATTCCAAAGATAGACTAGGCCAATAGTTCTAAACTTGGTTTCAGGAAAACAGGCTATAGCTCCCTCCTTTGAGCACAATGACTTGATTCTTAAAAAGAATTAAATAGTCTCAAGTGTTTTCAGTGTAACAGAAAAAGAGAAGGTACTTTTTATCTGGAGAGATTGTGTGGGCCTTTGAGGTCCTATGCCCTTTTCTGGCATGAGGTGGTACTGAAGCCATTTCTAGCTGTCAGTGACCTTAAGAACATGTCAGCTTTGTCTTTCAATTTCTCAGCTTCCATGGGTGGTCCCTTATTTAATCCCTTATAATGCTGAATATACACCCAAGAAACCTAAAACTACATTCTTACCCTTATAATTCTTTATTCCTCGGCCATTTTCCCTGTTTTCAGCACAGCTAATATTCACACTGACTGCTGATGTGATGTAATGGCACATTTACCTAGGCCTTATAAAGCAAAATGCTCTTTGTTTGGGCACCAATGATGTCAGTACAGATATGCAAACTAGAGGACAGCAGTCTAGGAGGTGAACCTTTTGAAATGTAAAGACTGATGGACTAGCTGCCAATGGGTTTTGGTATCTCAAAAAAGAGTAATTTCTTAGACTTTGAGACTTCCTTAGAATAGAATCTAAAGACATAAGGAACATACTGATATCAAAAAAACTTCCTTAGAACATCTTTGATATGATCAAATGGAGACACTGAAAAAAATGTTTGTATACAGATGGTACATCAGGAAACTTCATTTAGCCGGGTGGTGAACAAAAAATTTACAAAGTGCTAAGAAAAGAAAAGATGTTCATGAAAAGTGAATAGAAATTGCCATTACTCCAGATTGTTAAAGCTTTGTGAAAGAGGTGGTGGGCAGGACAGTTTGTATTAGTGGTGAACGGAGACAGTGTATAGTGTCTAAAGGTATGGTTTTAAAGTCTGTATGCTTGAGATCAAATCCTGGCTCCACTGCTCCTAAACTGTGTGCCCTTGGCCAGGTCACTTACTATGCCTCAGTTTCCTAATCCATAAAAAGAGGACAAGAAAAATAATCTCTTCAATGATTATGTGGCTATAAGATGATAAATGTAAAATGTTTAACATAGTGAACTGTTTGTAGTAAGGGCTTCAATATCACCCCACAAGTGACCAATGAGAGCGCTCCCACAAGCCTTTAAATTCCTGTAGCAGACCACCATCCTTGGCCTCAGCTTCTTCGGCTGTAAAGCGATGGGTCTAGTCTAGATGAGTGATTCAGACATTAGAGGTGTCATGGACTAGGCGAAAAAGAAAATACTACAGTCTCAACTTTTATTTTGCCAACTAAATGAAGACTGTGACCTAACATCACCACCTTTTCATTTTCATAATCTTTTTAAAAAGTGAGGGAGCCATTAGCTCAAAGATGGCACTTTAAAAAGCCCACTAACATTATTTTTCTCATTTCTCCATGGACTGTAAAAATTTGGTCCTCAATCAGAGTCTCACATTAAAAGTTCTATTATTTCAAGTTTATCTCTTTTAAAAATTAAGAACTATTTTGTCAATCAAATTTCATTTTGGATAAGGATTCAAATGAACTTCTCAGTTGACCTAAAAGCAGATCAAGGGTTAGAATCAAAATCTTTCAAGCTATTCCCTGGCAAGGTGGAGATTCTGAAGTAGTTGTAATTCATAGTACTGGAAAGCAATACTGAAAAATTCTTTGATACCTAGGGATATCCTAAACATGCTTAGAAAAGCAGGGATGAAGCAGGTGATTCCTACTCCTAGAAACATGATAGAATTGGGTTCTATTTAACACTGAGCTGGGTTCTGGTCTGCATTTAGTGACCAAAAGTGAAAGTTTCATTCCCATGGCTGAGAACTGCCTCTGAACAGAAGAAGGGGGAGAAAAAAAAAACCCAAAAAACAAAAACTGAATGGAGGAGGCTCAAGGTGTTTTAATTTGCACTGACTGAAGCATAATTTCATTTTGATATTTTTGCCAGTGGTACAAGGGAGTGTATCTCCACTCCTTAACAAAACAAAACCTGTTCAGGGAGCACAGATCTAGCAGCTAGCAAGTTCCTGTTCTAGAATATTCACAGAGGAAGTGGCCCGCAGGACACTTCTACTCTACCCTATACTACAGTGCTACAATTTTAATTCACTTGAAGAGAAAACATTCCATAAAGAAAGGAGAAAGGGAGAAAGAGAAAAGGAAAGGAATACAGAGACAAACAGAATCTGTATGTTCAGACTAAACTCTTGTGATCTTTATAATCAGAGAATTTAAAGCTATAAAAGAGTAACTGAGAACACTAGGGGCCTATGGGTTAAGAAACTTGTTCAAATACCTACAGTGAGTAAACGAGAGAGTTAAGATTCTCCAGGCCTTCTGTACCCCAGTCTAGTTTTTGACCTCCAAACCAATGGTTTTCAGCCATGGTTATACCTGAGAATTATCTGGAGCTTTAAAAGTCCCTATATCTAAGCTATAACCCCCACTAACTAAATTAGAATCTTGTGGCAGGGGGTACCAAGATATCAGTATTTTTTTTGTTTCTAATGTGAAGCCATAGTTAAGAACATCACTGCCCTAAACCATAGTGCCCTCAAGGTGGACGAAGCACAGATAAGGATGATTCTGTGAACAGGTTTCTTAGGCCCATTTAGCAGAAGTTCTTGGTAACTACTACAAGTTCCAGGCCATTGCAATTCTAGTCCAAGGTCATATTTGCGACCAAAGATTACTATTACCACACCACCATGGGATTACATAGTATTATAGAACAGAACTATGGTGGCTTCATTTAACCCAAACTGAAAAGTGTTTTGTTTTGTTTTTTACAATCAAGCCTTTTTTTTCTTGCCTGGAGTGTTATAAATGATGTATTCAGGTCCAACTATAATTTAGAGCTGAAGGGGCAGTGATCGTAGAACCAATGAATTAGCTCCGAAGCTGCTGCCAGGGCCTCTGTGACACCCCAACAGCTCTATTCTGTTCTTCAAGGAAAGGGCCTCTTTCCCCCCGCCCCAACCAGTCCTCACCTGATCCCCAGTTTTCTTGCAGGTCTCAGTTTTTCTCTGGACAGCACATCATCTGGCATCTACTGCATTAGGATGTTAACGCATAGAAACTTGTAATAGAAGCTTTTAAAATGTTTATTTGTATTACGACGGTGAAATGGTGCAAGAGTGCAAAGAAACTATTTAGCCCTTGTTTCCCTGCTGTTCACATTATTTTAGTAAAAGAAGATTAAGTAACATTAAAAGGAATGGAAGAAGTAAATATAAATATACCCAGCCAAATCCTCTAATTCACTAAAGGATGAACTGAAATTGTTGGCCCAATTCATAGTTATTGAGAACCTAAAAAAATTACTTCCCCTGTAACTTCCCTAGACCTGTGAAAAAGGGGAGTGGACAACATTTATATTACAAGACAGCAATCTTTTATTGAAACATTTTTTGTGTGTCTAAAACTATGCATGGAGAGATTAACCTCTTGTTCATAAATTAGGGTAATTCTAACATCACTATTCCAAACCAATATTATTTACAAAAAAAGAAACCTTTCTTTGCTTTCTTGCCAGTTCACAGGACTAAATTTTAAACCAACTTCAGTCTAGCTTTTAAAATTTCCCTGCCATCATATGCCCAGCAAACCTTATTAGGGTAGGGGGCAGCCTTTTGATGGCAACAATCATCATTTACCAGGAATGTAGAACCACAACTGAGCAACAACAACAAAAGATTAAATCATTCCAAACAATTCCTATTTGCTTTCCAAAAGCATGCTTTGTCTAATTCTCCCATTCTATACAGACAGGTGGGAGAGGAACGCCACAGAGCATCGTAATGTTAATTAAATTAACCTCTTCAAAAAGTGGACAAGATGGTTTAGCGTATACATGGATGAACTGCAGTCAATGACACTGACAAGTAATAAACTTTAAACCTAGATGAACACATATCCCCAATAGCTGGCCAGCTCAAATCATTACTTCTCATTTAATCTGGATCACATGTGCAATTTTTCACTCTCTAGTTAAATACATTGCCCAAATTTTTCAAAGCATATAGGGAACAGACTTCTTAGAAATTCAAATTACAATGTTAAATAATAAAAACTGCTGGCTTATTATACAGTTTCTGACAAACTCCAATGTGCTGGGTGACAGAAAGTAATTCTATCTCAGTTGCTAGTAAAAAGGTAAATCTTGTATATACATAAAAAGACAATATTACAAGACTGTAGTGTTAACCTACTAAAACAAGAATATCTAGAATGGAATTTTCAGTAAACACTTGGGATGATGAGCAATCAGAATACAAGAGAAAAGAAAATCCACATAAATTAATTCTTAATTTGAGAAATCAATAAAATGTATACACAAACTGATAAATACTGTCTCCATAGGTCACTAATTCCAAGGACTAGTTAGTAGTTAGTTTCTAACTAAATTATTACAAGACATTCTGGTGTATTCTCTCTTCTTATGATCAGTTTGTTCTGGCAAGACTCCAACAAGCACTTGCCCTTGAAAACAGCTCAGCGGGAGAAGGCTGGAGGCAATCACTTCATTTATTAACTATCCACAAAATAAATCCCAAGATTACAATAATCACTGTCAGGACAAGCACCAGGATACAGATCTTCTTGCGAGATTTTTTCTGAGGAGAAAAATATGTAAAGAAGACACTCATGAAACAAGTAAAAACTGTTTATAAGACTCAAAGAGTGCTTCATCAATCAGCCTCCTGGTAATGCAAAATGAAACTCTGTGTATGATTATGCAGACACCGTCTCAAAAATCTCAAGGTACCAGTGCTAGACAGCAATACAAGTTCTCATTCAATGCTCCCAAATACAATTTTGCAAAGGAACTGTTTATGTTGCAAGGTGTTATTTGCCATAAAACAAGTTATTTGTACATGTGTATTTGAATAAAGGTTTTATACCTATTATAAAATTTTATGTTCACTGTAAAAAATACAGACAAGCAGAAGAGAAAATAATCACCCACAGATAAAACAGCTGACATTTTAATTGTATTTCCTTCTGATCTTTTATCCAGGCACATTTATCTGACATAATTGGGACCATACTGTATCATGTCTGATGGTTTTCTCACTCAATATTTTAGAATAAAATTTGTGATATTATAAACTCTTCATAAACATCTCTTTTAATTCCCACATAAAATAACATGAAGTGGATGTATATAATTTACTTGACTGTTCTTTACTGTTGGATATTAAAGTCATCACTCAGTTTTTAAAAGGAAACTATTGTTAAATACAAATTTCTTTAAGAACAGTCCCAGGGTAAATACAATTATCTTAGGAACATGGTAAAGGACTAAATGCTATTTGTTTCTAAAAAGCCATGCAACACCAGGTTGAGGAGAAATGAGAAGAACCTCATTCACAACATGTGTAAACTGAGGTGAAGACCTGGATAAAGTTCATAAAACCAGAGTTTCAACTAGTATGTAGAAAAATACCACTTTACAGAAAGTAGAACAATTAACCCCTATTTGTTCACAGCAAAATAACCCCCATATAAGCCCCAATTAATTCATACATAAACAGCAGTCCAAGTTGAGTCTGTCCATTTTCTGTGGCAACAGTCAACATACATTATCTGCAAAGTCCTACTTTGTACCTATATCCTAACTGAAACAAATTTCAGCTGTTTAGGTTAGAAAATTAGCCTTACCCTAAATCAGGTATCATGCTAGCTTACGGGGATAGCTTTGTAGCTAAGAGGCTTCTATGTCAGTTTATTCAAAGTTTGATACTTTTTTTGTAGATCTCTCTGCAAAGGAAAATACTAAAAATGGAGCTGGGATGGCAATTATGACTACCTGCCTTCAGCTTAAGACTAAACAAATGGCTGCAGCTGTTCTCAACGCGTCAGTGACTCTGATGGCCCCCAGAGTCTACAGCACAGAGTGACTTTCTTTTGTACCTGCTTTTACCTGATAGTAAGCAGCTCGCTGTAGCTGGTCAGTGGCTCTTTCTACATGCACCTCTGAGCTTTCCACGTTGGCTTCTATGCTGTCTGCAAAAAAGAAGGGCAGTGGATGTTTTACCACAGTCAGATGTTTCAAGACTGCAAATTGAAGAGAATTCTAATGCTAAGGATCCTGTTCACCACCATCACTCCAACTATCCAGCCATGAGATCAAAAGTTACCAGCCCCATAAGAGAATAGCCCTCTTCTTTGGAAATAAACACTGAAGAATTATTTAGAGGTAGAGGGTTATGAAGTATGCAAATCATCCACAAATAGTTCAGAAAAAAATCAGGTAAATACATAGAAAGAGTGCAAATAAAAAGCAAATGTGGTAGAATGTTAACAAGAAGTAAATCTAAGTAAAGCTTACAAAGGAGTTCCTTGTTATTTTCATTTTTGCAACTTTTTGTGAACTTTAAATTATTTCCAAATAAAAAGTTTTTTTAAAAAGGGTTTCGAATCCCATAGTTGTACAAGTTTCTGAAGATAAAAACTGAGAAGCTGACAGCTATTTCCATAAACAACCAAAGACTTACCATGAGGCTACGGCAAGTATTCATGGAAGCCTCATTTTAACTTCCACATTTGACAACGTAAGAAAATTGCTAAGAAAATGAATTTAGTGATTTTTAAATGGTATTCCTAGATTCCTAAGACACAGCTTACTGACTTCTTTGCATACAAAAACTATCCACTCACCTTCATGTTAAAGGTATCAATAATACATACCAATGAGATCACCTTGGTCGTGGATCATCATGGCCAAATCTTTAAATATCTGATTGACATCCAAAATATCAGCCTAAGGAACACACACACACACAAATTAACCAACATTAAGTAACATGTTGGAAGATTCATTTCCTCTACTTACCTAAAGTTCTGGCTACTAACAACACATGTGTTTTTAAAGCTTATAAATCAGGCTTTCTCTATAAACAGAAAATGAAAATGAAGTTAATTTATTAACACTTACTAAATGACTTCTGTATGCAGAGTACTATGCCAGGTAGGTAATTAGAAGCACAGTCTCCTGGAGCCTGACTATCAGTTACAGAGGACTGTTAACCCTCCACAGTCTTGTTCAACCTTAAATTAAGAACTTCTCTGGACCTCCCTACTAAAATGTGGACAATGACAGTACCCATCTCATAGGATTTTCAGAAATACTAAATAAAAAGTTCTTAGAACTATGCAATAACCACTTCGTAAGTGTTAGCTATTACTATTACTTAACTGGTCCTCTGGAGAAGGAAATGGCAACCCACTCCAGAATTCTTGCCTGGAGAATCCTGTGGACAGAGGAGCCTGGTGGGCTGCTGTCCATGGGGTCACACAGAGTCGGACATGACTGAAGCGACTTAGCGTGCGTGCGTGCGTGTGTAACTGGTCCTCATGAAAACCCAATAAGACATGTATTATCTCCATTCTACAGAAAAGGAAAGTCAAGGCTCAAAGAGTTTAATGACTTGTCCTAAGGTCTCACAGCTACACGTGGCAAAACTGAGAATTAAAAGTTCATGATGGGCTTTCCTGGTGGTCCAGTGATAAAGACTCCATCTGCCAAGGCAGGGGACACACGTCTGATCCTTGGCCTGCACTCTAGAGCCTGTGCTCTGCAACAAGAGAAGCCACCACAATGAGAAGCCTGCGCACCACAACGAAGAATAGCCCCAGCTCTCTGAACCTAGAGAAAGCCCTCGGGTAGCAATAAAGACCCAGCACAGTCGGAAGTAAATAAATAAATAATCTTTTTAAAAGTTCACAATGTTTGAATTAATCATTCAGTAACTCTTATGAGGTAAATGTCTTCTTTGCGGATAATGAGGCTCAGAGAGGTTATGTAACTTGTCTAGTCACACAATTCATCAGTGAGGAAACTTAAGTTCTGCAGCCAGGATTATATTCCTAAAGCCCACGCTCTTTCAATAAGCAATGTGCTGCCTCTCAGATGCTACAATAAAAAAATGATACCTTCAAAGCAATGACTTCCTAATCACAACTTGGCAAGAACAGTTCCAGCTAGCACCTCCGTTACTTGTTAAGAGTCTACTATAGTTAGGACAGTTGGCTAGTTGCTGTGAATATAAAAGGGCTTAATAATAGTTATCTGGGGGTGGAGGTGGGGTGGAGGGATCAGTATACAATAAGAGAGGTATGAAGAAAGGGTATTATATGGTAAATGACTAATAAATAGTATAGCATTTACCTCAAGCAGAGAAGGAAGATTATGGCAGAAGAAGCAGGACTTAAGAAGCCATATACACAGAAAGGTAACTGGGTTAAAGAACAAACAGCCCAGTTTGGCTATAACATGGGTGTGATATTATGATTCATAATAAGAAATACATATTTGATCTTTGTCCCAATCCCAGCACAGAGCTCCTAAAATTTTTTTCTAAGTGATAAAAGAGATAAAGATGTCCTTTTTTATTCAAAACAAACCCTTTCAACCACTCCTGAGTTTATGTTAATAGCTTGGCTTTTGGAAAACCCCTAAAGATAGGGGCTAGTTGCCAGGGGAACCAACCTGGTGTTTAGTTGGTTGGAACTTTCAGCCCCAGTTCCGACCTCTGGGGAGGGGATGAGGGCTCAAAGTTAGATCAATCACCAAAGGCCAATTATAATCAATCATGCCCATGTAACCAGAAGATCAGAGAGCTTCTTGGTTAGTGAACACATGGAGATATGGGGAGTGAAGTGGGCCTGGAAGCCATGCATGCGTGAGAGCTCAGTCACTTCAGTCATGTCTGACTCTTTGTGACCCTATGAACTGTAGCCCACCAAGCTCCTCTGTGCATGGGATTCTCCAGGCAAGAATACTAGAGTGGGTTGCCATGTCCTCCTCCAGGGGATCTTCCTGACCCAGGGATCGAACCCGCGTCTCCTGAATCTCCTGCACTGCAGGCGGATTCTTTGCCGCTGAGCCACTGGGGAAGCCCCATGGAAGCCATGTACCCTGGCCATATACTTTGCGCTATGCATCTCTTCCATCTGGCTCTTCCTGAGCTGTATCCTTTTATAATAAACCAGTAAATGAGTAAACAGTTTTCTTAAGTTCTGTGAGCTGCTCCAGCTAATTAATCAAACCCAAGGAGGGGGTTGTGAGAACTTCCAATTTCCAACCTGTTGGTCAGAAGCACAGGTGATAACCTGGATTTGCGACTGGCACCTGAAGTTGCTGAAAGGGGGTCAGTCTTGTGCGATTGAACTTTCAATCTGTGGGATCTGAGGCTAACTCCAGGAAGACAGTATTAGAACTAAGTTGCACTGTAGCACATCCTGATAATGTGGCAGAATTGCTTGATGTGGGGGAAAAAACACATGTTTGGTGACCAGAGTGTGAGAAGTATAGAGTGGGAGTAGAAGAGAAACACAGGAGTGTGTTGCTGCACTGTTAGAACAGGTTTGCATGTTAGATGCAGGAAATGACTGGATACGAAAAAGCAACGGCTAAGGAATTAGACCTCGATTCTGTTGAATGTGAACTGCCCGTTACACTCCTCTCCTCAGCTCCACACATCTCATTCTACTCTCGGCTAGACAGGATTTCTCATGTTAAAGAATCAATTAGATGATTAGTAGCAACAGATGAAAAAGAAAACACATGACATCTTTGAAGTCAAACTTTGGGCTTTCCCCAGTGGCTCAGCCGGTAAAGAATCCACCTGTAATGCAGGAAACACAGGAGATATGTGTTCGATCCCTGGGTTGGGAAGATCCCCTGAAGTAGGAAATGACAACCCATTCCAGTATTCTTGCTTGGAGAATCCCTTGGACAGAGGCGTCTGGCATGTCCATGGTGTCGCAAAGAGTCAGACATGACTAAGTACAAGCACAAGGATGAACTGTTTCATCAAAAAAGAGAGGGCAACAACAAAATTCTGTAAAGCAATTATCCTCCAATTAAAAAAATAAATTAAAAAAAGAAGTATCAAGGAAAAAAAAACAGAGGACTCTAGGGCAGTGTGTCTCAACCTTGACTGTACTTTGTAATCACCTGGGAAGTTTATAAGATAAAAAATGGCCCCATCCAGGGCTTCCTGTGGATGTTTGCCCATTTTTAACCTATAAAAAATTAAGAAAATCACACGCAGTCCAAACTAGTAATTGGTGGGTGGATGAGAAGAGCTGGGGCATTAAAAAAAAAATCTCCAAGTGATTCTAAAAGTGCAGTCAAGGTTCAGAACCACTGCCACAAATGAAGGTCAAGGAGGAAGTCAAAGTTTCTCCTCTCTACAACCCTCCCTCCCTCACTGCCCCCAAGATGGCAGTCTTCCATCTCCATGGAGAAAAGTACTCAGGTTTAAGGATATTTTACTGGTCATCATGCAAAAAATTAAAGTTGGACACTCAGGTAAGAAAGGCCTTGAGACCTCTCTCTCAACACTCACCTCAAAAATTGTTCATGTTTCTCTGACTCACTGATGAGATACCCACAATTTGGGGTTGGACTTTCAGATGCACAAAAATGGAGCAAATCTTTTGGCCTGTCTTTATTCTGGGTTATTCAGACTAAGCAAAGGACTCTCCATAGAGCCCCACAGAACCTAGAGATTGGCACTGAGGTTTGGGACAATGTCTTAATAAAATATTTGCTGGCCTTGCTCTGTTCTCTGTGGGTATTCTCATGCAGACCATACAAAATATGGTGACTGAGGAGGGGGTCCAGATATCCTCATGCACCATGACCAATACCATCCTAGTGAAGTGTGAAAGTTGCTCAGTCGTGTCTGACTCTTTGTGACCCTGAATTCTCTTTGTGGTCTGAATTCTCCAGGCCAGAATACTAGAATGGGTAGCCGTTCCCTTCTTCTTCAGGGGATCTTCCCAACCCAGGGATTGAACCCAGGTCTCCCGCATTGCAGACAGATTCTTTACCAGCTGAGCCACCAGTAAAGCCCAAGAATACTGGAGTGGGTAGCCTATCCCTTCTCCAGGGGATCTTCCCAACCCAGGCTTCAAACCGGGGTCTCCTGTATTGCAGGTGGATTCTTTACCAGCTGAGGTCCCAGGGAATCCTGATATGATCATAAGAGTAGTTCATATTCACCATGATTACACTGAGACATAATATGCAAACCATACAACTCATTTCATCCTTTCTCATAATTACTGAGAGAAAAACCAGATTGCAGATACACTGAGTCAAACAAAAAACATGACCTGGCCCTCACCTCCAGCTGCCGAATTGCCGTCTCCCTCTCCTTAATAAGCTCCAGGTCCTGTTCAGTGATGGCCACCTCATCCTCCTGTCTCTGCATCTGGTTCCATTCCTCATGGCTGCAGAGAGACAAGCACATGGGCTGATTCCTCCCCGCAAAGGTGGTCATAAGACATATTATCTCTGCTGTCAGCAGAGCCTGTTCAAAGACAGTACCAGGCCTCCAACTCCTCTGGTAACAATACAAGTCCCTGGGGGTTACATTCTTCACATCCAGAGGCAAAGAACGGGTAACACCAAGAAAACCAGGTCTCAGCCTTCGTGGGCAAAACCAAGAGGAGGCAGAATCACAAGGGATGGAGCTCCTTGCTGTTTCCATTCAGGAGTACACTCTATAATCTTGCTAGACAAGAAGCGGGCAGAGATGTTAAATCTCTGGCCCATTCTCTCCCAGGGCACTCTCAAAGTGCAAGCTGTGTTGGTATCTCAGGTACTAAATGGGTAGAGAAGAGCAGGTTAAGTGATCTGTCAGTGCTTCACCAATTAGTCTGACAGAATCACATCTCCCAGTTTTCAAGACTCTCTTTGAGGCTGTTAAACATCTCTTAATAGAATACCAAAGTAAAAAAGCTAATGAAATGTTACAACTCTTCTTTTCTGGTACCATATTTCAAAGAAAGGCATATGACATACGAGACATGCACCTTGAAAATTCAGTATTTAGCGCCTTTCCAGTAGTACACATAAATCACATGTCATCTCCACAATACTTAGAGAATTTTCTCCATGTTCTGGAGATAAAAAACAGAGAGAGAGAGCACTCCAGACCTCTGAGGTGCTCATAGTATAGTGGTGGCAAGACAGATGCATACCTGTGACAAGATACTTTATGTTCTGAACTAATACCATCAATACATTTCTATGGAATTAGCTAATTCAGTTTGGAGGAGAAAGGAGATGTTTTGTAGATACAAATCGTTTGCTTTTTCTAGGGTTGCCTCCATTTTAGGGATGAGTAAACAGAAACCCAGGAACTTTGAAGAACTTAAATCTGAATTACACATAAAATTTCAACCCTCCTAGTTTGTAGGTTTTGGGGTTTCTATTTATTCCTCTTGAGCCAAACCCTCTCCTCAACACACAGACATCAGAGATTTCTTGAAAGTTTTTTATTCACTTTGAAATTATCCCTTTCATAATTCAAAGATCATGGAAAAGCCCGTTTTGACTTTTTTAATGTTATGGATTATAAATTACCTACCCCAGGGCTCTTGAGAGTCCCTTGGACTGCAAGGAGATCAAACCAGTCAATCTTAAAGGAAATCAGTCCTGAATATTCATTGGAAGGACTGATGCTGAAGCTGAAGCTACAATACTTCGGCCATCTGATGTGAAGAACTGACTCACTGGAAAAGACCCTGATGCTGGGAAAGATTGAAGGCAGGAGAAGGGGACGATAGAGGATGAGATGGTTGGATGGCATCATCAACTCGATGGACATGAGTTTGAGCAAGCTCTGCGAGTTGATGATAGACAGGGAAGCCAGGTGTGCTGCAGTCCATTGGGTCGCAAAGAGTCAGACACGACTGAGTGACTAAACTGAACAGATCCCAGGGGTCCCTTTATTTTTCCTCCTTTTTTCCTCACTGATTTTTAAAATTAAAAGTAAGTATAAAGTATAAAATCCCATCTCAACTATTTACTTTAGAATAATTCCTTTACCTGTCAAAGGAGACGAGCTGTTCCTCTCTCTGTCTCTCCTCCGCCTAGAAAGTAGATGGCATTATTGCTGCTGTTATTCACAAACATGTCAAAGACACAGACACACACATACACACAATGGCCTCCTTTAGCTACAGTATAAAGAAGCAACATCCTTTGGCTCTGATAGGATCTATAAGATGACACAGGGCTCTGGCAATCTGTCTTGACTAGGAAATGGGTGTGAAGCAGTCAAAAGCCAATCTGCATTCCACTTTGGGTTCAGAATCAAAACCATACTAAGTAGGATGGAGAGAACATGGTAGGAGAAGGGAATAAAAATTAATAACAGTGATAACTTATTTTAAAATTTGGAGAGAGGTGGATTAAGGGAAAGAACTGAAAACGTGCAAGCAAACAAATTTTCAGAACTTGTAAAGATTCTTTTTTTAAATGGACCTTTAAAGCATATCAGGTTCTAAAGTGACAAACTGACTTCAAAAATCAGTCTAATGATACATTACTTTTGTAATTTAACAACTAAGAAAAAAACTTAAAAGAGCAATCTATTTTTTAAAAAAAACTTCCCTTTTTTATGATCACAGTAACCAAAAAGTTAAGCAAAATATAGAAAATTTCAAAATTCTACCCACCCAGAGGAATACAGTGGATTTTTAAAAATTATTATTAGTTTTCACTCTTTCCCCTGATCAAGAAATGAAACACTGCTCGTGTCCTACAGCCTACCTCTGTGCCCTTCTCCAATAACAACCACCTCTCTCTCCTCCATAGTAACCATTATCCTGACTTTTTGGCCACCATTTTCTTGTATTTTTAAAATATTTATACATATCAATATTTAATATTTTATCTGATTTTGAATTTTACATGAACGGAATTATACTGTTTGTATTCTTTCATGCTTTGATTGGATCACATTAGATTATGCCAGATCCATCCCTGATGCTAAATATAACTATGGTTCATTTTCTCTGTTGTAATATATTATAGTACCACCACGTATTTATCTCTTCTATTGTTAATTGACATTGGAATGTTTCTGATTTTTGGCTACTACAAATATTGTTGCTATGAACACTCCCGTACATATATCTTGGTACAAACACACAGAGTTCTCTGGGGTAGAACAGCTGGGTCATAAGGTGTGCGTGTGTTCTGAGTTACAGCCAAAACGTTTTCCAGTGGTTGTTTCAACTCATACTACCACTGGTCAGGTAGGAAAGCTCCTGCTGCATTGCATCCTTTGTGTACCCTGGGCTGTTCATTACACTGCAAAAATTATTTGCTGGTATTCTTTGGGGGCTAGGATAAAGGTGTCTGAACAGAGCCAATTTGTATTTGCTTTTGTCTGGCACGAAGGTACTCGACCAGACCAGGACTACTGGAAGCTTCAGGCTTTTGGACCATTCAGGTAGTATGAATTTGGGCAGCAAATCTGCCTGAAGGTTACTTTGTGGTACAATTTACTGCCAGGATTTCCCCTCCCTCCTGCCATCCTCTGTGCTAATGCAATTTTCTAGCAGTCTGCTAGGGGAGAAGAGGGCTTACTTTTCATTTTTTTAGGGCCCAGTTTAATTTGAGCAGCACCTTCTTTTACAATATTCACCTTGCATAGACCCATTACTTTGACTTCATGCCATAAGGACATCAAAACTGAATTCATGTTTGCTCTCAGTAAATGTACTCAGTGAAAAAGTAGTTTTTTTCGGTGTTCTGCTTATCTCTATGGGTTCACACTTTCTCTTAGGCTTTGATCTTAATATTTTCATGGCTCTTTGATATTTTTGAGACATTGGGTTGTTAAAATCTAGTATGTTAATTCTTTTCAAAGAGAAGGCTAGTCCAAATAACCTAGCCTGCTACATTCTAGGAAATGGATTTATCTTTTCCTTTTTTTTTTTTTTTTCATAGTGAAAACTTTTATATTTGGAATTAGCCAGCTGGACTCTGTTTAGATGATCCCAATTTTGTTGGCAACATCCAAAGCATCATAGTCAGGAGCCAGTCGAATATATGCCTTCCTCTCTCCATTAGGCCTGATCAGATTATTGACCTTAGCCACGTCAATGTCATAGAGCTTCTTCACAGCCTGTTTAGTTTGGTGCTTCTTGGCCTTGACATCCACAGTGAACACCAGTGTGGTATTGTCTTCTGTCTTCTTCATGGCTGACTGGGTGGTGAGAGGGAATTTGATGATGGCATAGTGGTCACGTTTGTTTCTCCCAGGGGCGCTCTTCCGAGGATATTTGGGCTGCCTCCTGAGCCGCAGTGTTTTGGGCCACCGGAAGGTGGGTGACATCCGGATCTTCTTTTCCTTGTGGCTATGGACACTGCATTCTTGGCCTTCAAAGCCTTTGCTGTGGCTTCAGCTTTAGGAGGGGCAGGGGCTTCCTTCTTCACCTTCGGCGCCATCTTCATGAAAAGGTTATCCTTTCTTTTTAAAAAGTTTTTAACATAAGATCAATATGACAATGAGAAAGGAAAAAGAAAATTACACATAATTCTATCTATCATTTTTGTAAATCGTGCATATTGCTTTGCAGTCTTTGACCATATGTACACTTTTTTAACAAAGGTCATACTAATCTGACATTTTTATAGCAGCTAATGTCCATGTTTATTATTTAAAGGAATAGTAAGCAAAGACAAATGGTCAAAAATTTTTTTTAAACTTAGGAAAGAACATCCTGAAATTTGCAGAAGTCTTCCTTTGGAAATAAACTCACAGAAAGACGAGATCCAGCTCTTGCTCGGGCAATGCTCTCCTTCTCCTTTTCAGACACCCTTCTCTGCACAGCCTGGAAACTGTTTAAGGCTGCAGAGAAGTCATTCATGAGACGTTCCTTCTGAAGTTTCTGCTGGCGCTGGGAAATTAAACAAGAACTTAAAATTTCATATTAACCCAGAATCATTTGGTTTTAATTCCTTTATTGATTTATTTTTTAAATTCCCTTTAAAAGCAAAAGTATACCCCCTAAAAATTCCCAACTAGGAAAAGAACTGTGAAATAGGCTCTTCCTTAAATGAACGAACTTGCTTTTTTCTAACTCAAATCTCTGGTTAATACTATAGGCCAAGTCAGAGTTTTCCTTCGTTCATTCTGACAAACCTGTGAACTGGGTGTCTTTTACCTTGTAAGGGAATCTCAGAGGGAACCACAGTTCAGAATTTTGGTTCCCAGGAGAATCTAAAAGCAGAATAAACACCTATGGATTTAGACTGGACTCAAACAGAGACTGTTTCCTTGCTAACATGTTAAAAACTGTATTCATCTATAGTTAGTTCACAGCTTACCTAAACACCATAGAATCATTTGCCTTCACACTGTAGTAAGATTCAAAATCTTTGAGAACCTAAAAGCTTATTCTGCAGAGTTACAGGCTATGTTTACTTAGCTTACTGATACTATGTCTCAAAAAGCACATACTGAGAGCACTTGCTATTGTCAATTGGTACTACAGGTTATACAGAGGCAAGTATAATCAGTAAGAATCCAAGTGGTCAAGGCCTCAAGAGGTGGTGGACACTAAGGGAAGAGTAAGGCATGAATAGCAGAGAGAAGGGGAAAGGCAAAGCCATGCAAGGTAACTGTGAGCAAAGGCACGGTGGCAGAAATTTGCAGAGTATTTACAAAAAGGTAGTTTGACTGGAACCAAAGGTTTTTTTCATGAGAATAGCTAAAAGATAAAATTGAAAAAATAGGGAAGGGGCTGAGCACTGCAAGTTTTATTTTTCTTTTTTAAAGATTTGCTTACTTGGCCACACCAGGTCTCAGTGGCACATGCAGGATTTTTGATCTTCATTGTGGCATGTAGGGCTTCCCAGGTGGCGCTAGTGATAAAGAACTTGCTTGCCAATGCAGGAGACTAAGAGACAAGGGTTCCACTCCTAGTCTGGAAGATCCCCTGGAGCAGGGCATGGCAATCCACTCCAGTATTCTTGCCTGGAGAATCCCATGAACAGAGAAGCCTGCCAGACTACAGTCCATAAGGTTGCAAAGAGTCAGATATGATGGGAGCGACTTAGCACGGATGCACTCAGGTATGCTGGTTCTTTAGTTGTGGCCTGGGGGGTTTTAGTTGTGGAATGTGAACTCTTAGTTGTGGCATGTAGGATTTAGTTTCCTAAGGATCGAACTTGGGCCCCCTGCATTGGGATGGCAGAGTCTTGGCCACTGGACCACTAGGGAAGTCCCCACAGCAGGTTTTATTTTTTTTTTTTTTAATTTCTTTTTGGCTGTCCAAGTCTTTGTTGCTTCACACTGGCCTTCTCTAGAGCAGGGGTTACACTTTGTTGCAGTGCGAAGGCTTCTCAATGCAGTGACTTCTCTTATTGCGGACCACAGGCTTTATAGCTCAGGCTTAGTAGTTGTGGCTCACAGACTTAGTTGCTCTGTGGCATGCAGGATCTTCCCAGATGAGGGACTGAACCCATGTCCTCTGCATTGGCAGGCAGATTCTTAAACACTGGACCACTAAGGAAGTCCACCCACTGCAGGTTTTAAATGCCAAGCTAATAAGTTTGGGATTCAACCTCTAAATAACCAAAAGCAATGAAGATTTCTATGAGGGGAACATGATGTGTACAAAATGATAACTTAGAAAAATGAGTCCATCATGGTGAACACAATGGAATGGAAAAATGAAATAAGTCAAAAAGATGACCACAATAATCAAGATTTAAGGTTAGGAAGACATGGTATCAGTAATGAGAACATAAAGAAATGAGTCTAAAAAACATTATGCGCCTGGCTGTGGGGAAAGGAGGATAATTTCAAAGGATGACTCACATTTCACACCTGGGAGAGAGATGGTAACACTGAAAGCAAATTTAGATGAGGGACTTTTTATCCAGAGATTTTAATTTTTACATAAACATTAAATAACAGAGGGGGAAAAAACATCATCCCCCAATCTCACTATCCAAAAATATTATCTTTGAAGTATATCATAAGCATTTTCCATGTTAACATACTCTTCACAACTTGGTCTTTGCTATATAATATTCCACTAAGTTGATCTAGTAAATTTTACATAAGCATCCCTTCTAGATTGTTCTATTTTTAACTATTATAAATAAACAAAGCTAAAGCCCTATTGTAACAGCTAATATTTATACAGTTCTTATCACATATCATATTGTTATAACTACTTTATATAATAACCCATTTAATCCATATATCTACCTATACTATTAAAGTACCTATTTGACAGATCTGGAAAATGAGGCAGAGAGGTTAAGCAATTTGCCTAGGATCATATAATAAATGGCAGGGGTAGAATTTAAATCCAGGAAACCTGGCTCCAGAGTGTACAGCTGGCTTTTTTTTCTTAGAACTTAGAAACATTTGCATGAGTGGAAATATTAGGCCAAAAGGCACAAACATTTTTTTATGACAATAAGTACTGTCAGTCAGCTTAGTGAGGGGTTTGGGTGAAACAGGAGGGGTTCATTAGCATATCAAAGAGGAGATGTCAGAGCAGGAATTAGCAATATGGGCCAAGAACTTAGAGGTGCAGGGGCAAGGGATTGAAAAAGATTTGGGGACCATGGTCATAAAAGTCACAGGAAGCTCATAAAAGTAGAAAAGACTCCTGGGGGAGAAAGCACAAAATAACAAAATTACAGGATCACTGGTAGCGCCTTGGGGCACACCCACTTCTAGGAGGACACACAGTCAGAGAAAGACGCTAAGACTCAACCTGGGGTAAGAGAGACAAAAGGCCAGAAAGGGGTCACCAGAGTTGGGGAACATGAAAACTATTTTGTCATCTTTACTATGGAAATCATGGGAAGAAGAAGGAAGTTTCAGTAAAGACAGGATGAACAGGAGGATCAAATAAAACAAAAAGAAATGAATAAAAACTCAAAAAAAGTCCATTGGATTTGGCAATTAGAAGATCACTGATAATAGTGCATAAGTATGAAAGAAATGTGAAAGTAGGATGTATGGTTTGATAGTCCAGTAGCAAAAAGATGAGTGACAGGGGTAAGATTAATTAGATAAAGAAACAGTTGAAAAGGAAAAGAATATTCAGCACAATAGGAGGAAGGGAATCCAGGATTTATATTTCACCAGAGATAATACCTCTGTGGATTTATTTCATGTTCTTAATGATCCAAACTTTGCCAACAAATGTCCATCTAGTCAAGGCTATGGTAGTAGTCATGTATGGATGTGAAGTTGGACTATAAAGAAAGCTGAGTGCCAAAGAATTGATGCTTTTGAACTGCGGTGTTGGAGAAGACTCTTGAGAGTCCCTTGGACTGCAAGGAGATCCAACCAGTCCATCCTAAAGGAGATCAGTCCTGAATATTCATTGGAAGGACTAATGTTGAAGCTAAAACTCCAATACTTTGGCCACCTGATGCAAAGAGCTAACTCATTTGAAAAGACCCTGAAACTGGGAAAGATAGAAGGCGGGAGAAGGGGACAACAGAGGATGAGATGGTTGGATGGCATCACTGACTCAATGGACATGAGTTTGAGTAAACTCCGGAAGTTGGTGACAGACAGGGAGGCCAGGCATGCTGCAGTCCATGGGGTCGCAAAGAGTTGGATACGACTGAGCAACTGAACTGAACTGAATGATTCAAGATAATGGAAGGAAACAAGAAGATGCATAATCCAAAAATAATTTCTATTTGATTTTGGAATACATTAGTTTTTTTTTTTAAGTAGATTGAACTTTCTGTTTTGCTTAGGCTACTATTTAACATTTTGCTGTTGCTCAGTCGCTCAGTTGTATCTGACTCTTTGAGACCCTGTGGACTGCAGCACATTCTGTTGACATATCAGACTAAGAGATTCCCTTTTTTTACTGCTAAAACTATCTACAAGTGTGTATTCCCTATGTGCACAGCTGGGAGGAGGAAAGGGGTGATTTGGGAATAATTTCAAAGAATGAATGGCAAGGGGAACTGGTCCAGTGTGAGAAACAGCCAACACAAATAGCACACAGAGGCAGAGTCAAAGGGTGATTATGTTAAGGTTACTACTTTGTAGCAGGATGACAAAGTACCTAGTTTCGGTTCTTTTCTTTTGGGCAAGGGGATGCCAAAAATCCAAAGACTGAACACATACTTCATTAAATGCCTTGCCAGGAATGAGTTAAACTGATGATTTTCAAACTTTTTTGATGGAGATCCAGAATAAGAATGTGACATCTTGACCTAGCATCATATACACACATATGTGTGAAACAAAAGTTTCATGTAACAGTATTTCCCTCAATTACATGGTTACACACTCTGATATTTCTATTCTGTTTCATTTCTTTTAAATGGTGATCACAACACACTAAAATTATTTTATGTTCCAACAGTTACAATTCATAGACAATCCGGGAAGGGGAGTGGTAGGCTTCATCTTTAGAGCCATCAGAGACAAAATATCATCATTTAAAAAATTCACTAATAAAAAACAACATAAGTTAAGTGCCCCCATGAATGGTATAGAAACTAAAGCAAAATAAAATCACAATAGTCTAAGATAGAGAAGATTTTTGTCCTGGAAGAGACAGGATGTAAGGCAGACCATGAACAGGAGGTTAAAAAGTCAAGCTACAATGGAGGGGACACATTTGACTTTAAGAACAAGTGAAGTAAAGGCATGGCATATCAAGGGAACAATGAATTCCAGCAGAAACTGTGTCTTTAAAGGATTTAAATGGTCAGTGAAGAAAATGACTTGAGTAGAGAAATCTATTTCTCAGAGCATTTCCTTAATTGGAAACCTAGAAATGACTTGATGTGACATGAAAGTGACTGCAAAGTGAAAAAGACGTTTGCTTAAAATTTATAGATACTGGATACAAGCCAACGAGAATCAAGCCAGAAAGCATAAAGCTGCAAATCAAATCCCAACAAGATGCAAACACTGAGATTCTTCTTCAGTTAAACCCATTTTTACTAATATATTAATATATTACTGCTAATTGTCACAGCAGCTACCCATATTGAGTACCTACTAATACCTTGCAAGATCTGGTACATGCATTCTTTCTGTTGTCACAATAGACACATCCATTTTATGGATAAGGAAACTGAGGTTCAGTGTGAAGGCCAAGTTTGTTTCACATACCGCCTCTTCAAAAAAAAAACAGTATTTTTCTTATTCAAAATAAACAAATCAAAACCCCAGAAAATACCAACCTGTTCTGAAGTAGATAAAGGAAGGGGCAAGGACCCCAGTTCCTTCAGTAATTCATTTGTTTCCTTGGCAAGCTGATTTGTAGAGTGTTGTAACTGTTGCCTAAGAGAGAAAAGATATGTTTTAGGATATTCTCATTTCTTGAGAGCTGTTAGCATCAGCCTGTTCTCAGAGTATCTCATGATGCAGGGAATGAAAGGGCAACTGAAGGAATGGGTTCCCAGATGCTCAGGTTCACAACAAAATTCCAAAAGTACCACCCAGTCAAACTAAATTCAAGTTGTCTTCACGTTAACAAGTAGAAAGAACCTACCTCAATGAAAACTGCTGATTAGGTATTTTAATTCTTTGGGGAGAAAAGAAAAGCATTCTCAGCAGTTCTGATAGAAATACAAGAACAGGGACCTCCCTGGCGGTCCAGAGGTTAAGACTTCACCTTCCAGTGCAGGGGGTGCAGGTTCGGTCCCTGGTCAGGGAGCTAAGATCCCACATGCCTCTTGGCCAAAAAAAACCAAAGCATAAAACAGAAGCATTATTGTAACAAATTCAATAAAGGCTGAAAAAAAATGGTCCACATTTTAAAAAAAAAAAAAAAAAGAAATACAAGAACAGCTGCCCCTACACCTCAATCTAATAGTTTTAACATGTTGAACTCTCCAAAACTTCTCACAGTGATTTGCCCAAGAGTTCTGCATGGTTACTGTCTGTCACAGTCCACTGACTAGTGACAGAATCCACGCACTGGGGGTTGGATGAAAGGTGCATTAGAAGAACAGATTCTACCAGAGGGAACAACCTCCAAAGATCAACTCCCACGTTTGTGCTTAAAGCTGGTGCTTTTTCAGCTTTATCTTTGGCTCCCTACCTATGCTTTATGCTAGACTTTCTAGCTCTTTCCTCCAAAACAAAGAAGCCCTATATTGTATTTAAAAAAAAAAAAAAAAAAAAAGGAAGGAGCAGAGGGGGAAGGAAATTAAAGAGGGAAAATTGTGTGGGATTGAAAGGTACTAGAAATACAAAAAAGATTCCTTTCAGTCATGGTTTCTTCTACTATCTGGCCATTTCTGCAAAGGTTTTAAGGGAGGACAGAGAAACCACACTACTAATTACTAATATTTTTTCACTGCAAAGGGATCTCCAAGATAGAAGGAAAAAAAAAAAAGCAAAACAAAACAAACAACAACAACAAAAATGAGAGTCAAAACCAGGGGGAGTCAAAAAAACAAAAAACAAAAATGGGAATTTCCTGGTGGTTCAGTGGTTCCCCCTTCCACCCAAGAGGACACTGGATCAATCCCTGCTTGGTGAACTAAGATCCAACCAGCCATATGGTACAGCAAAAAAATAACAAAACAAAACAAAAAAGCCCCCCGAAAGAGTCAATCAGAAGCCTGAGCATCACAGACAGTACTAACATACCCACAGCTACCTCACGTCTCCCTCAAAAAAGCTCAAAATACTAACAATAAGTCATCCTCTCACTTCCCAATGTCTAGGACAGGAAACAAAAATATTGTTAAAGATGAAAACTAGAACTTCTAACAGCAGAGGCGGAGTCAAGAAGGATGTAATAAAAAGAATCTATTCCACTATTCTCTCCTCGGGTCATTTTTCTAATATTATATATAGTTGGAAATCCAACAGATTAGGTGAGCACTGTAGATCATCAGGAGGCCTGTGCCAACGAAGCTCATGGAGGCAGAATGCAGAGTGGTAGGGATTCCCCCTCTACTTCCCTAAATTGTTCTGCTAAGCTGTCCAAGGGAGGAAGAAAAGCAGAGTCCAAGGACTCTGAGAGGCAGGGGAGATCACAACCCATTAATGTATTTTGTTGCTCCTCTTCTAGATCCATCTATGACCTCATGTCCCACTGCCTCTCATGCTGAATTCACAGGCCTGAAACCTAAGCCACCAAGCAGCAAGAGCATTAGGTGTGTCCCCAAAAGGCCCTCACAAATCCCAACCTTGTTAGGAAGCTACTCACAGATTCTCCTGTAGCTTGCTTGAATCCTGCTTAGTTCCTAGTTGGCTCATCAAGTTCTTTATCTGAGCGGCTGGGGAGAGGAGAAAAACAAATTTATTAAAAAGAAAAATACATTCATCACAAGCACCCTGGGGAGGGGGGAAGGGATAAATTGGGAGACTGAGATTGATGTATACATACTACTATATATAAAGTAGATACCTAATAAGGACCTATTGTATAGCACAGGGAATGCTACTCAATACTCTGCAATGGTCTATAAGGAAAAAGAAACTAAAAAAGAGAGAGTGTGTGTGTATATATATATATATATATGTGTGTGTGTGTGTGTGTGTGTGATTCACTGTGCTATACACCTAAAACTAACACAACACTGTAAATCAATTATACGTCAATAAAAATTTTTTTAAAAAACAAGCACCCTAATTCTCAGATCACTGGTCTCTCCTCATATTCTGAATAAGTATGTACAACCAATAGAAAGCATGCTATGATCAAGACCCTGGTTTTGATTTTCTATTCTCTTCTAAATCTACCTGTGAGATCTACCTTTCTCCTAGAGAGTAAATATGCCACTAAGCAGAAGATGGTGGTTCTGTTGTCACTCCCAAAGAACTTCCACATTCTGCCAGATTTTCAGTGGCACTGGTTAAAATGTTTCTCTCTTTTGGAATGGCCTTGATACCAAGTATCAATTCACAACAATAAAAATTTAAATTCATGAATACAAAACAATTTTCTACAGCAAACATTTTTGGAAAGACAATGTACATTTATTATTGATAGTAAGTTACCACTAATTGAGCACTTCTATGTGCCAAGTACTATATTAGGAGCTTTGTATACACAATCTTATTCATTTTCATAGCAACAGTCTGAAGTGGATGTATCTTCATTTTGCAGATGAAGAAATAGATTTAGAGAAGTTAAATATCTTATGTAAGTGCACACACAAAAAGAAGTAGGGCAAAACATTCAACCCCAGGGACATCATACTCCAATGCCTATGTTCCTTTAACTATGCTGTCTGTAGACAAATAGTACATTGCTTTGTTCGGATTACTCCACCAAGATACTGCACTAAGATTAGGAATGGTCATATTTGAATCCTAGATGTTTAAGCCCCTAGCCCTGGACTAGGAAAGCAGAGCTCTGGAGGAATTGATAGTCTATCAATAAGCAGAAACAGACTGCCTGGGAATCTGAACACCCTCGTCACTCACTGACTTCTACAACAGGAATAGAGCCCCTGATTTCCTATGTCCTACTTTCTATTCTCTTTATCTGTTGGCAGAGAAGACAGGGGAGATTCATTCATTCATTCATTTATAGAGCTTGAAATTTTATTGTACGACTTTTTTGTTTGTTTGCATGCTTGCATTTTAAAAGCATTCACTGTCTTCTATAGGGCTTCCCAGATCACTGTGCCATCATGGGTGTTGCAAAGCAAAAGTTTCCACAGTCCAGAATATATATGTATGTAACACTTCAAATCATGATTTTATCTTAAGACCATCTTTTAAGCAAAAATATAACTCCAATTTTATAACAGAAATATAAATGATTAAAGCGCTTAAATGATTAAAAATGATTAAAATTCACATGATTAAAAAGTTGCCTTTTGACAAACTTTCCTAAAATATAACTATTCTATTAAATGAGGGTTTTTTAGTTTAACGGTTCCATAGGAAAATGTAAAGCACTATAAAAGATTGCATTCTGCTAAAAAAGCATTATGTAAGATATAAATAACCATTTTTCATCACTAAGATGTATAATGTCCTTCTTACCTAAGTCTAATGGGAATTAGAATCAAAGATATCAACTGGCTGGCCAAACAATTTAAGAAAAAGGACAGACATTAGCATCTACAGAGCGTTCACCATGTGCCAGACACTGGGCTATGTACTTGATGTGGTATAAAAAAAAGTGTATTTGGTCTTTGTCCTCAGTTCCTGGCAAAGAGTTCCTAAAAGCCTTGAAATTTCCTGAGTGATAGGAGTGTCTTTCGTTATTCATAAAGGGCTCCTTTGGAGCATACAGAGCTTACCTATTGAGGTGACCTAAGCCCTGATAGCCTCAGGATGGGTAGGGTTTGTCATCAGAAAGACCAAATAATTAGCAGGTTGGAAATTTCAGTTCCACCCGCCAACCTCTGAGAAGGGAAACTAGAGGTAGGGAGAGGAAGTACAGATTAAACTCTAAATTCTTGAACTAGATTTGAATAAGCTTCCAGATTGGTGGGCTCCCCAGGTAGTTCACTGGTAAAGAACCCACCTGCCAATGCAGGAGACTCAGGAGACACGGGTCCGATTCCTGGGTCGGAAGATCCCCTGGAGGAGGGCATGCCAACCCACTCCAGTATTCTTGCCTGGGAAATCCCATGGACAGAGGAGCCTGGCACAGTCCATGGGGTCGAAGAATCAGACACGACTGAGTGACCACACACACACAGGCACAGACTGGTGACCACATGCAGATGCAGGGAGGGTGTCAGTGCCCAGAGAGAGCATGGAGATTCTGAGCTTTTCCTACATACCTTGTTCTAGGAATCTCTTCTATCTGGCTGCTCCTGAATTATATCCTTTTATAATAAACCAGTAAGTGAATGTTCTCCTGAGTTACGTGAGCTGGACTAGCAAACTAGCTGAACCTGAAGAGGGGCTCATGGGAACACCTCGAACACAGCTCACTGAGCAGAAGGACAGATAAGAACCCAGACTTACAATTGGCATCTGAAGGGTGGGGGTGTCGGGGGAGCCTTGTGGGACTAAGCCCTTAATTTGTGGAATCTGATGCTAACTCCAGGTAGTGTCAGAATTGAATTAAATTGTAGGACACCCAACTTAAGTCCAGAGAGACTGACCACTGGCGTGCGGTAAACCCACACATCTGTGTCAGAAGTATTGAGAGTGGAGGAAACATCAGAAGAGTGCTTTTCCTTCGCTCCTCATAAGCATTATCTCACCATTGTTGCTGTGCTAGTTGCTCAGTCGTGTCCGACTCTTTGTGACCCCACGGACCGTAGCCTGCTAGGTTCCTCCGTCCATGGGATTCTCCAGGCAAGAATACTGGAGTGGGTTACCATTCCCCTCTTCAGGGGATCTTCCCAACCCAGGGACTGAATCCCGGTCTCTCACATTGCAGGCAGATTCTTTACCGGCTGTCCCACCAGGGAAGCCCCTTATCTTATTATGTAAGCATTATTACAGGTGGGGATACTGAGCTCACGCTGTTACAAAACTCATTCCTTCACTCGGAATACCTATTCTCCAGTTATGTGCTCTGGAAGATACTGCTCTCAAGAAGCTTCCACTTTTAGGAGAAGAGATAATAAGCATGTATCAGGTAGTGATAAGTGCTATAAAGAAAAATAAAATCAGGTACGGGCTGGAATAACAGGGTAGGGAGAGGGGACTAGTTTATACAAGGTAGTCAGAGATGACCTCTCTGATAAGGTGACAGAGCAGAGACCTAAAGGAAGTGAAAGATCAAATCCTGAAGAATATCTGGGGGAAAAGCTTTCTAGCAGAGAGCATGAAGCACAAAGTGCCCAAGGCGAGCACACTTGTGATGGAGAAATGGGGGCCAGTGTGACTATAGAGAGATGACAGAAAGGGGAGCCAAAACACACAGGACCCTGTAAACTAGAGCAAAGCCTTCTCATTTTAATGAAATGGGACGCCACCAGTGGTTTTAAGCAGTGTCATAAAAACCAGAATTCAAATCCAGGGCTAATTCCAATAACTATATTTTTTTATGTCCCAGTAGATTCTCTCACAGGCAGGCAGACCTTTAAAGGAAATACACAGAATATAGTGACTTAGGGCAGGCTTCCATTTGCCAGTGTTGCACTTTGCCCCACCCTGCTTATCTGACAGCTCCCTAACTTAACAGCTCTCTCCCCTCCAGATAGGCTGATGCCCTTGCTCTAACCTGCTCCCTTCCCCAAGGCCTTGCCACCTTTGGGAAGGTTCCTTCGTACTTACTGGAGCCCAGCAGAGTGCCAACACCCAGGGAGCAGTAAGCAATTGCTGATTAATTGAGTTAGCCTCAGTTTTATGTCATGCCACTTTCAAGGCAGAAGATATGAACGAACATGAGGAACATGAGCTAGGAATAATGAGATCTAAACTCTAAGCCAAACAGGACCACTCGCTACACGTACGGCACCAGATAAGTCATTTCATGTTGCTGGGTCTCTTTCAGCAATTTTATATGATATTCAGGTTTAACTAACACATATTGAGTACTTATTGTCTGTCACAGTACTTACTATTTGTGTGGGTGGGGCTTTTTTCCTTATTCAATTATTACGACTACATAAGGACTAAATGACCTCTAAGTACTCCCACCACTGCTCAATGATAAAAGTCAACAATAATGAAGAAGCTCTAGTCCCAGAATGATGCTGTGTAACCAAGCAGTTTTTTTTGCAAGCCACAGTTTGGCTGACAGAGACTCTGCCTCTCTGTACAAATGGGACTGGACTGACTATACGCCTCTGGAGAGGAGGGACCACATTCTAACTCATTTTTGTGTTTGCATAACCGCACATGCATACACACTCCTCCAGAAAATAACTGGTTACAGGGTGACACATAAAGGTAAATGTTACTAGTATGTAACATGAATGTTACAGTTCAAGGAAACAGATCTCATCTTATTGACTGTCTTTACATAGAGCATTCTCTTTAGAAACTCTAGAGATTTCAAAATTTCAAGTTGTTAATCACCTATCAAAATGTATTAAATGCCCTAGACAGCAAAGGGGATTTTATAGACTATGGGGGAAAAGTCAATTTAAAATCAGCTGTTCTTGGTTTATCCTCAGCCAAGAACTTTTTTACCTAGTCTTTTCTGACTTCTTTTGTTTGCTGAGATATGTAAATTGGGATGCGGGGATTGGGGTGGGGGGATGGAGGAGGACTTTATAGCGTCACTTGTTAGCTAAGCACCAGAATGAATCCAAGCTTTCATCAATTCTATTCAAATTCCTGAATATTGACATTTTCCTAAAAGTTTCCAGCAAGATGCCCCAAAACTCAAGTGATAAGGACAGTAGCCTCT